GCCAAATGAACCAATTAGTGGGGTCAGGGTAATCAAATAAGCAGAAGGTAAGAGCTGAATAGTTTGTTCCGCTGTGGAGGCTTAGGTAGAATTGCTTTATCTCAATGGTTCTCATGTGGAGTGATTTTGCCCCCAAGTGGTATTACTGGGTAGTGTTTAGAGTCAGTTTTGGTGGCTACAATGGGAGGGAAAGGATCCTACTGGCATCTAATGGGTAAAGGCCAGAGACATACTAAATACCTTACATACAGAATAATCTCCACAACAGAGAATTATCTGCTACAAAACATCAGAAGGAGGTCCCACAGTCTACCAGAAGCATGAGGAACTGGAAGAAAACCATTCCCAGTTGAAAAGCTGGGGAAGGGGATTCCAAAGGAAAGGACTCATTTAAAGTACCCAATAGGGCTGGGAAAGTGGCTCAGTGGTAGAGTGCTTGCCTTGCATGCATGAGGCCCTGGGTTCGATTCCTCAGCACCACATAAGCAGAAAAAGCTGGAAGTAGTGCAGTGGCTCAAGTGGTAGAGTGCTAGCCTTGAGCTGAAGAGCTAAGGGACAGCGCCCAGACCCAGAATTCAGGCCCCATGACCAACAAAAGTAAATAAATAACCATTAGCCATATCCTCAATCTGAAAGTAAGTACTCCTGAAACTATCCATGTTTCTCTTCTAATATTTCTCTTTCCCTTCTCTTCTTCGCTTTTCACCACCATATTTTCTGAACGACTTGTTGACGTTAACTGTTCCAACCGGTCATTTCACTCATTCATTCAATAAATAATTCCAGGTCATGGGATATGACAGTGATAAACTGATGTGGTCTCATGAAACCCTTATTGGTAAGGGAGAGCCAAATAATAAATTGTCAGATGGTAATGAGGGAAAAAACACTTTAAAAATTACAAAGCAGGGAACTAGGAAAGTATATGCTCAGAATGAACGTTCTAAGAAAGACTCCGTTAAGGTGGTCACATCTGAGAAAAAGAACTCAAGAGAACAGAAGATAGATTCCTAGGAAAAGAACATTCTGAGGAAAAGGAACATTGAATGGGAACATAATGAAGAGGCAATACTCTTGCTGTGGTTTGGGAATGACTCATTACCCTGCAGGTGGGAAAACCTAGTAGAAATGAGTTGGGGGGGGAGGAGGGAGGCAGGGAAAGAGAAGAAAAGTGGAGTGGTATAGAAAGAGAAAATCCTTGAGTGTTACCCTTGAGCAAGTATAATAACTGAGTTTACACAGCGTATCCTCACATAAAGGAGTGAACATTACTGAACATACTGATAAGGAAAGTCAGCCATTATCAGAACTCAATCTACTACTGCCAGAACCAGCTTACAAGTAATTTTCCAGGAACTTTACCATTGGGCTACACCCAAAGTCAAAACATTGGTGCTCTACCCAATAATAGATTGTACTCCTCACCACTGGGGTTCAGGTTGGAAACTCCTCTAGGCCCCAGTTCTCCCAGTGTGGCTTGCTTCTTCCCAGAGTATTTTCTGTAACAGTAGTAGCAGGAAATAAGACTTTTGAAGCCAAATGTGTTTGGCTGGAGTGATGTTAGAACATGTTGAAGTTCTCTTTGACAGGATTCTATTTCCTCAGTGATGAAGGAAGCAAAGCTATAAATAGAGATGATGGATGATGAAGGAGGTGTTAGTGTTCAATAGCAAGATTAAAAACACCTGAAACTGTGATTTAGAATGGAAGACCAATGGATTATATAATGGTGGAAATCCTTGGTGGAATTACAATGGGCCACTTGAAGTGAGTTGTGACTAAAGTAAGGCCAGCCATTGCTGTAGGTACCAAGAGATACAGAGATTGTGAGTGTCAGGGTAGTAGGGGTATAGGATTGGTAGCTGGAGAAGTGAGATGGTTGCAGTTTGGACGGTGCAGTTTCAGTGACAAGAGCATGGACAAGGGTATTCACGACGGAGCACAGGACAGAGTCCAGGCACTCCAAAAGCCAACTATTTGGAAAATACCAAATTGAAGTCACTGAGGATCAGGATGGAAGTAGCCGTGGAGAAAGTAAAATGAGAGTAAGGAACTTAGTCCTTCTAAGATTGGGAGGAGAAAGCAGAGGGACAGGCTGACTGCAAAACCAAGTGTGCAAAACCACCTGTTCTGATAGAGTGGGTTATAAAGCTATCAGAGGCAAACAGTCCTATTCCCTGAACATACCTTATTATAATCTGGCTCAGTCCATTACTTTTGAGAACTTGGAAAGATAACAGCAGATCTGTGTGTGTGTGTATGTGTGTGTGTGTGTGTGTGAGAGAGAGAGAGAGAGAGAGAGAGGAGAGAGAATGTAAGAGAGAGAGAGAGAGAGAGAGAGTGTGTGTTTCTAGGTCCCTGAGCTTCTCTGTGCTCAAGGCTAGTACTCTACCACTTGAGCCACAACACCACTTCTGACTTTTTCTGAGTAGTTTATTGGAATAGGAGTTTCATGGACTTTTCTACCCATGCTGGCTTTGAACCCCAATCCTCAGATCTCAGCCTCCTGAGTAGCTAGAATTACAGGTGTGAGCCACCAGCACCCAGCTGCAGATCTTTGAATAAATGGTAAAAGGAAGTGTCATAAGTATATGACCAATGCTGGTGTTTCTTATGGTAGAGTCTTAAGACAGAGCCCAATGGAAACTAGTGAGAAATAAGGAGCATTGGAACCCTACCCTCTGCCTAATAAACCTCACACCTCCTGACCTTCACTAAAGCCCATCTATCCACTCCCAAGTCCTTCTGTCGCATCGTTAGAAATAGCTCTGGATGTTGGGGAGGTGCATCAGAATAAGGACACCAACTTGAAAAGAACTTGGCAAGGCAAAGTTTACTTCTGCAGAAGAACGCATCATCAGCCAAAAATCTGGCAAGCAAGCACACAGAGCAGTCAGGCTGCTCCCTTTTAATCCCTCATGCTGAAGGCCCTGGCCCTCAGCTCGGATTGGTTGAGCTCAGGGTCACAATCTGCAAAAAGAGGTGGCTTAATTAACCGGATATAATTAAAGGACCTTCTAACAGGATGTCTTAATTAAAGTGCTCAGGAACAGAGTTATGTAACTAAAATGTAAACAAGGGTCACGCAACCTGGCCAAATCAGGAAGCTTCAAAAGAGCCATTCTCTCAAGATTAAAAGGAATTAGAATCTGAGCCTCCGCCTTTCTCCTCAAAAAAAAAAAAAAAAAAAAACATTAAAAGGAAGCAAATTACTTGGTGCTATTCCTGGGCTCCTTTTTGCTCAAGGCTAAACTATTCCACTTTAGCCACAGCACCACTTCCTGCTTTTGCTGTGATTAATTGGAGATAAGAATCTCTCAGACTTTCCTTCCCAGGCTGGCTTCAAACTGCAATTCTCAGATCTCAGCCTTCTGTGTAGCTAGGATTACAGGCATGAGCCACAGATGCCAGACCAAAATAAATAGATAGACAGACAGACAGATACAATAGATAGACAATTATAATGTTTAATATGTGTGTATGCATTTTTTTAAAGAAAAGAAATTGGGCCAGTCCTGGGACTTGGGCTCAAGGCTAGTGCTCTCCCACCTGAGCCACAGCTGCAATTCTGGTTTTTGTTGTTAACTGGAAGTAAGAGTTTCATGGCCCTTCCTGCCTGGCTTGGCTTTGAACCACAATCCTCCTGAGTAGTTAGGATTACAGTTGTTAAGACATCAGCACTGGCTTACAGAAATTGAAATGTGCTAGCTCTCTGGCTCTGTAGAGCACCCCTCCCCCCCCTCCATTAGTGTTCTTTGATTGAAAGCCACACAAATTGATTCTTCAGAATTGTGGAGGTCAGCAGTGAAAATGAGTTAATGAGTTTTCTAGGACTAAAGTGTCCCAGTATGGTGTTGGTACGACAAATTGTTTCCGAAAGCTCCAGGAGAAAACGTTTCTTGCAGTCTCTTCCAGCTTCTAGAAGCAGCAAGCATTCCCTGGCTCCTAATGCAGCTCTGGCCTTGGCTTTCTTGGTGGCCTCCTTCCTTCCCTCCCTTCCTTCCCCTCCCTGTGATTACATCAGACACACCTGGGTAATTCTGGACGCTGTCCTCAACTCAACATCCTTGATTTGATCACTTCGGCAAAGCCCTTTTACCTGGTAGTGTGACACAGATTGAGATATAGTGACCTTAGGGGGGTGGGAATGACTTTATTCAGCCCACAGCGCAGGTCTCACCCTTGAATCCTTAATCCACTGCCTAATATAATTTTGACTCCCTGCCCCCATCCCTGCTGGTTGCCAGAGTTTGAACTCCAGGCCTCACTCTCCAGTTTAGCTCTTTTGTTCAAGGATGGTGCTCAACCTCTTGAGTCACACCTTAGCTTTTGTCTTTTTGCTAGAGAATGGGAGATGATTTGCGGGGGGGGGGGGGGGGGGGTTGGCTGGCTTCCTACAACACACCTCAGACTTCAGCCTCCTAAGTAGTGAAGGTTACAGATGTGATTCACCAGCACCAGACCCTATTTCTCATTTGTGTGCCTGTGTGTGTGTGTGTGTGAGAGAGAGAGAGCGCCATACTTTTCCATTTATGAAGTAGTAGTGCCAGTATGGATATATAATCCCCTTTTTTTATTCTCTTGCGGCCAATTTTAAGCAAAGGACGAACCAAAGTTCCCGCCGTAGGATCAAGTCCGGTGCGCTCGCTGTCTCTAGCATTTCCCGCACTTAACCACCCGTCACCGACCGGGGCCACCCCAAGTCGGGGGGCCGAGGCCAACGCCTCCCACTGCCTCGGAGAGGCGTCGGACGCCGGCCCCGGGCCCCGGCCCCCACCCGGCGGCGAGCCCGAGGGACGCTGCGCGCGGAGCCCGACCTCCCCGCGGGGAGGCCGCCCGAGCGCACGCCCCGGACGTCACACGTGGCCTGCGATCCCCCCCGCGGCCGCGGGCGGCGCCTGGGCCCCGCCGCCCTCGCGCGGTTCTGGGAAGGGGTGGATACGGATGTGGCAGCGCCCCGCCCGCGAGGACAACCTTTGTCCCCGGGCTCGGGGGGAGCCGGCGCGCCGCCGCAGCGTGGCCGGCCGGAGTCGCGCTCGGCACCCGGGTCTCCCTCCTGGTGCGGGAAGCGCAGCCCCGGAAGCGGCCGCGATCGGAAGCTTTCGGTCCCGGAGCCGGAGCCCTCGCCGGAGCCCGGGCTCCGAGCGCAGCCCCGGGACTCAGAGCCCAGCCCCGGGGGTCGCCGAGCCCGGGCCTCCGGCGCGCGCCCCTCCGCCCCTGCCGCTCGCTTTGCGGACACCTTGGTTTCTAGCTCGGCTCGGGGATGCTGGGGGCCCCTTCTCCGAGGACCCTGGAGCCGGGGGGGACCCCGGCGCCCCCGCTCTCCCTCTGCTGCGGAGGAGCCTTGCTGGCGATCCTGATGCTGCTCGCGCTGCCCACGGCCTGGGGTGAGACGCGGGACCGGCGTGGGGAGGCGGCGCGGCTGGGGCGGGAGGGTCTCCGAAGCTTCCGCCTCAGTGGGCTCAGCGCGCGAGACGACCTGGCCGCGAGGGTCCGGGGTCCCCCGGTGTGCTTTGCCTCGGGGGACGGGTGCAGCTCCCCCCAACCCCAGGTCCCCCCAACCCCAGGTCCCCACCCTGCGCCACCGACTGCACCAAACCTCTCCCCAGCCTGTCTGTGTGCGTCACTGGATCCGGTGAAGGTTTGTGAAGTTTCCCTTTAAAAATGGGGACTCCACGCCAGGTCCTCGACTTTGATCACCGAATAAGAATTTCAGGATTAGTCACAATAATAAGAAAACTTGGCGGCTCTTTGTTGAGTAAGCAAGCCGACCCGCAGACACACCCTCTAACCGGGTGTGGTGCTGTCAAAGGGAAAGACCCCTGGGCTCTTTGATATCAGGCGAATTCATATGATAGAGGCCGGGCCTGGCTTCAAGTTGTGCAGGTTGGTGGTGTTACACTTTTTACCACTTGGGCTCAAGGGCTCTGAGACTGGCCAGGACTTTACCTGTATGACCATTATGTTTGGGCACCACTTTTAGGAGGGAATGCATTCTGCCCTACAGTCAATATTATTTTTCTGTTGTAAAGGTGATGTACAGAGGGGGTTACAGTTGCATAAATCAGGTAATGAGTACATTTATTTTGTTTTAGACAATGTCACCCCATTCTTCATTTTTCTCCGGGTTTTTCTCTCCCCCCCCCCACGTTGTATAATTTATTTCCAACAATAGAGTCTGCCATATATTTTAAAACTGGTGTTTATCCCTGAGATGAAATGCATCCTGCCACAAATGTTTATCCTTTGAGGTAAGTGCTCTGTATCAGGAGGAGCCATTTTTTCTAAGTATTTGCTTCTCTAGGATATATGTTTTTGTTTTTTTTTTTAATGGCTTCTCTCAGTTTCTAGAGCACACTAATTGTTTGGGGCCAGAAGGGAAGGTCGGATGGAGAAAGCTTATATTAATACTGCAGCTTATGAAGGAGTGCAAGGGTTAAAACAAAGAAGGTAGCCCTTTGTTTTTAAATACTCTGTTTCTAAATTCACAGCTGCCATATCCTTCCTCATATTCACAGTGTGGATTGGCTAGGTAGTAGGGTGTGGCGCTGGCCCAAGTAAAACTAAGGGTTTTACAGCTCCCAGAAACCTGAATTCTAACCTAGCCCTTTCACCTAGAGAGAAGCAACGGTGGCCGTCTGATTCCTCATCTCTACAGTGCTTTATGATCTGTCCATCCTGGCTGCGTTGCTACAGTGTTTTGGATGCATACAAGGAGCCAACCAACACACTTGTCACTTAATGCTCTTCTGTCCCTTCCTCCAACCATCATCTCTGGCCTTGGTTCCCAAGGGTGTTTAGACAAATAACCGTAGGGGTACATCTGAAAACTGCCCTGCATTTGAGGATGCATTTAATACCTTTGCTGTCCATCTCTAATCACCATCTACCTTAATAACATTTAATTGAGCCCCTACTTTAAGGGAGATGCTCTCCTGACGATACTTGGGGTTTAGAAAAACAAGAGAGCTCCCACCACAGTGGAACTGATGTCTGAGAAGGGAAGTGGAAGGGTGTACAGTTTGCATTTTGGTAGTGTGGTTGGCACAAAATAAAGCCTACCGTTACCTACTAGGGAGATTTTGAGGCCACATCTGCCCTTCCTTCCTCCTGGCTTCAAGTAGGTAAACATTTTCAGTAAAATCCTTCTCGCACCCTATCCATTCCTCCGTTTTCTTGGTTGCTTATACTCACTGGCAACATGTGGGTTGAAGTGAGTTTTGCATTGTTCAACCTCTTCCTGACAGTTCGGGGTTGCTCTAGAAATACTTACATTCATTGATCGTTTCTTCTCTTTTGAGAGAGCAAGGAAAATAGAAAACCAAATTTCCACCACAGTTGCTATGAATCTTTTGTCTCTCTAGGTATCAGAAAGTAGCCTGTCAGGCAAAGAGATAGGATCAAAACTTGAGTACACCAAGTAAGTTAAGGAATGTGTTGTCAATGCTTACAGACTAAGGTGGTCCTTGTATCACTAGCTGCCCACTTCTTACTGGTATGTAGCTGTAGTTTGCCTGTGTTTATTAAGTTACTATTACTCTATTAATTGCGAGCAACAACAAACATTTGTTGAGGCTATCACAGTAACCTCCAAATGCAACACAGATTAAAACCTTATAATCAGTCAGTTCGCTTAAATGAAGCGAAGGTAGATGGAATGAATGCCTTCCCCTGAGCATAGCCAATTTGGAATTTAAAAGAGAGCTAGCTAATTGCCTCCAAGCTCTGTGTCTATGGAAATTGGTTTGGGGTTTCCAGCCTCTCCTACTCACTGCAGGAGAGCCTTGGACTCCAGGCAAGTGAGTTAGCAACTCGATCATCAATTGTCCATATGTACAAAATGGACGTCATTGACATCTTGAACTTTGAGAGGCCGGTTGTGAAAACCAGGTGAGGTAGTACCAGGACAGTGTTTTGTAACTACACAACTCTTGCAGACCTGAGAAAGTGTGACTGAGGAAGTCACTCAAGAGAGACTAAGTGCTGCAGGATGACTTAATAAGGAGCAATGTGAACTCTTATAAATATGTTCTCCAAGGACCGCTGGCGTCACAGCTGAAGACACCAAAACAGAATTGTCTCAGCAAGGCAGAACTTCTGTGCGGAAGGGTTGCACCATTGGCAAGCAGCCTCACTAAGCTGGCAGGCTACTGCCATTTGATCCCTAAAACACCAGGCCCTGCCTCTTTGCTTGATTGGCTGAGCTTAGGTCCACAATATGCTTGTGATTGGCTAGCTTGAAGAGGGTAGGATGTATTTGCATAAAGTGACCATTATAAGACATTGAGATAAAATTAACAGAACACAAGCAGTCTCGAAATGTACCCAACACCCTCTGCTATAAAGCAATCTGAAGTGTGCCTCCCTCACATCCAATACTACTTTCTTGAATAATCTAAGGTGGCTTATTTCCACTTTGGAACAAGCTTCCAAAACAAACCTTATGTTTCAAAAATCCTTTCTTATCCCAAAGGATTTCCTCTTTTCCTTTTTTTTTTTTTTTTTTTTGTCGGTCGTGAGGCTTGAACTCTGGGCCTGAGCACTGTCCCTCAGCTATTCAGCTCAAGGCTAGTGCTCTACCACTTCCGGTTTTCTGGTGGTTGATTGGAGATAAGAGTTTTAGGGACTGGGCTGGGAAGGTGGCTCAGTGGTAGAGTGCTTGCCTTGCATGCATGAGGTCCTGGGTTCTATTCCTCAGCACCCCATAGCAAAAAGAAAAAAAGCCAGAAGTGGCACTGTGGCTCAAGTGGTAGAAGAGCTGAAGAGCTGAGGGACAGCGCCCAGGCCCAGAGCTCAAGCCTCATGACTGGACCCATGACTGGACCCCCCCCCACCAAAAAAAATAGTTTTACGGACTTTCCTGCATGGGCTGGCTTTGAACTTCGATCCTCAGATCGCAGCCACCCAAGTAGCTAGGATTACAGGTGTTTGCCACCAGCGCCAGGCTTCCTCTTTCCCTTTCTTTATTTGCTGATATTATCTTAGCAGAATAAGCAGTAAGAGCCAAGCCACTGAGCCGAAGCAGGAACTTTTAAGCAACCCACTTTTGAGAAAAGGCTGAATGAAAGGAGCATGGCTTAAACATTAGTGCTTACAGAGTAAATCAAAACTCAGGTTGTATAATATGCTTTTTTGAATAAAATGTCAGAAGATTGGGATTATTTTGTTATTATAAGGCATTCACTATGTTAATTTCAGACCAAATAGACTTCAGAGGAAGGAAAGTTAAAGAGACGCATTCCAGACTGATAAAGGAGACAGTCCTCCCTCAATGAATGTATGCAATCCTTGATATGTATGTGCTTAATGACAGCGGATCAAGATATGTGAAGCCAGGGCTGGGAAGGTGGCTCAGTGGTAGAGCGCATGCCTTGCATGCCAGAGGCTCTGGGTTTGATTCCTCAGCACCACATAAGCAAAAAGAAAAAAGCCGGAAGTGGCGCTGTGGCTCAAGTGGTAGAGCGCTAGCCTTGAGCTGAAGAGCTGAGGGACAGCACCCAGGCCCAGAGTTCAGGCCCCATGACCGGACCCCCCCCCCCAAAAAAAAAAAGATATGTGAAGCCATACCTTAACAGAACTGTGGGCAGAAATAAATAGATCCAATATGATGATTGATGACATTAACACTCCTCTATCAGAGACTCAATAAGGAGCTAGTTGAGCTTAGCAGTCCATCAGTATAGGGAGTATAGATGGCCAGTATAAACTGCTTCACCCATCAACAGCAGAATGTCTGTTCTTCTCATGTTCATGTAGGTAATTTACCAAGATAAACCACATTTAGACTCACAAAAAAAAATGGCATAATGTTTAAGTGTTTGACAACATTAAACAATGTTTACTGGCAAGAAGTTTAACACAGACTCTGGCACCCTCTTCTGGTCCTCCTGTAACTCATAATGTGTTATTTCTGCTATGAAAACAAGCAGTGTAGAAAGGAGTTCTCATTTGTGCTTGGTGGGGCATTTCAATTTTCATATCTCCAAAGGGTAGGCTTATGTTTTAGGTTAGCCTACTTTAAAAAATGACCTTCATATTTTGGCAAAGTATTTCAAGAATGTCTTGCACACAAAAAAATACCATTCCAGTTTTTTGTACCTCCAATTGGTAGATTTATGTTTTAGATTAACTTAGATTTATCTAAAAATGGCCTTCATATTTGGGCAAGGAATTTCAAAAATGCCCTGCACAAAAATACCAAACAAAGATAATTCTAAGACCAACAAACAAAATGGAAGAGCCAACCCTCCTTCTACCCCTCCCCAGAAGACAGGCCAACACAGGCTTGATGTGAGAGGCATTGAGAGAGGGAAACACTTGTTGAGTTTACAACAAATGATAAAAATTGACTCCTCTCCTTCCCCCCCCCCCAAAAAAAAATAATCTAGAAAGCATCAAGAAGACCAGTTGAACTACAGCTGCATATACACTATTGTCAATGGAAACTGGAACTGTATTTTGTCTACTTTTGGGTTTTATTTCATGGTCACATTAAGTCATGATGACTAGCAAAGCATTTGAAATGCTTATACCAGCTGTGTGATACTGCCTTTAATTTTGTCTATAATTTTTAATAATCTGAAATTTTATTGTTTGGGGGAAATGTATGCTATCTTTAAACTGATCAAATTGCCTAAGCAAAACCATTACAAACCCCTTAGCCCAAAAGAGAATGTGCAGAATGGGAGCAGAGTTAATAGCCCAGATTGACAACTCCCATTGGAGGAAACTCATGGGAGTCTCTAGTTTATTGAGTCTGTTGTGCTGATGGCAGGATGGGCCAGTCTGTCTTGAAAGAAGGTTTGCATCAGGAGTATTTGAAAGTGGGCTGTGTCATCCAAGACCAAAACTATAATGAGGTAACAATGTACATTCCATGGCAGTGGCTGAAATTAAGATTAACCATGCCACTTGTTGCCAATATTAACTGGAATGTATTAACTGGAGTGATCAATGTAAATTCTGAAAACAGCTGGACAGTTTCTTAAGATTAAGCTCATACCCATACATTTAACATATAACTGTAAATTTTGTTCCTAGGTTTTTATACCAAAGAAATGAAAGCTTATATCCACATTAATTTTTATAGTCAACTTTTCATATTGTTAATTTTCCTAAAAGCGGAAACAATCCAGAATGTGTGTCAAACAGAAGAATGGGTAAATTGAAGTATCTTTAATATGACTATATTTCTCAACCACAAAAACAACCATGTTTATATATGCAACAGCTTGAATGAATCTCAAAATAATAATACTGTGTGGTAGCTAAATCAAAAAGAGCAAAAACTGAGCGGTGGTCCTAGAAAGGCAAATCAGGATGGAAGTTGTCTTTATTCCCAAATCAGAGAAGGAAATGGGAGGATGGATGGATGGCTAAGGGAGAACTCTCTGTGGTAGGGAGTGTGAGGGAAGTGTTTTGATTTCATGTTGGATACATATGTCATCAACTTGTAGAGCATAAGTACTCATCAACGATTGCATGTTGTATACTGTATATCTTGAGTTTATGGAGTGCATGTTATTATATTTGTCATAGGAGCAGTCATCATTTGAAGGACTGGTAACACAAGAGGAAAAAGAAACTAGATCAAGCTTTCTCTAGTGAAGGCTCATGAGCATGTTTTCCTGCACTGTTACCACATTTTTATTATTACGTATAGTACTCATATACTAGAGCTCAGGTTAAGAACATTAGGTAAATAAAGGACAGAAATGTCATTACAAAAATAGTCCCTGCATGTGGCCATGTGGCCATGTGGCTTGCCCAGGGTAGGCCTCCTGAGATAGTTGGCCTCTCTCACCAGTTTTAGCACCAGAATCAGCACTTTGTTCAAGCTTCAATAGTTGAGACAAACACCAGCATTGTATTATTCACCCCACCCTGTCCATTAGAAAACAGTGAGGCGTAGTATTTGAGAATGCAGGAACTAATTTTCACAGTGGTTTTTAAGTGTTGTTATCTACCAAGTCACCTGTGAAACTTTTTAAAGATAGAGATGGCTGGGTCCTAACTTAGATCCAGTGAATCGGAACTCTTGGGGGTATAGCCTGCCTACACTCTTTCTTTTTCTTTTTTTTTTTTTTTTTGTTGATGGGGCTTGTGCTCTGGGCTTGGGCGCTGTCCCTGGGCTCTTCAGCTCAAGGCGAGTGCTCTACCGCTTGAGCCAAGCACCACTTCCAGTTTTCTAGCAGTTTATTGGAGATAAGAGTCTCACGGTTTCCTGCCCAGGCTGGCTTTGAACCGAGATCCTCAGATCTCAGCCTCCCGAGTAGCTAGGATTACAGGTGGGAGCCATCGGCTCCTGGCTTGCCTACACTCTTGATCTTTAAATTTTATGGGAAATTCATTAGTTATTTGTTTATTGTAATAAACACTCATTGAGTTTTTCTTGCTGGGGGCTAAGTACTTAGACCGTATTAATTTAAGGGAACAAAAGATACGTGGTCTCTCATCCTTACATAAACCATCTTCAGTATCTGTTGAGGGAAATAGATATTTTTTTAAAGTCTACCAAGTTTTCAAAAGCATATTATAATCACGACATATTATTTATATAATAGGAAAAGAAAAGGATGGGTCAGTGGAAAGTCTTGCAAGGTAGGGTAAAGAGAACTGATTGAAATTTTTGATTTCTAGAAGAGTGAAAGACAAGTAGAAAAACCTGAGACAGGGAAAAGGATGTATGTGTATAAGAAACGAAGAGAAAACAAAAGGGCTACATCTCAGTAAGAAGACAGAATGGGACAAGATGAACCAAGAATCATAGCCCAAGGTGGCGTGCTTGACAGCAGTGGACTTAATAGATTATTTTCAGAAGAAATGAATGTGAGGTTTCTTTGAAAAGAAGCAGAATTCTTTGCCTAAATAATGAGTGCAAAGATGATCCCCAGTTCCGTCTAATGCTCTGTCAATAGGACAAAAAACAGCTTGCCCATGATAGGCACCGTGTAATGCAGACACCAGGACCTAGGCTGAGACACCTCAAAATAACAATAACGCTAAAATCAAAATCAGAGCATAATGAACAATACCAAAAAAAAAAAAAAAAAGTGGGGATAGGCTTCACCCTGCCCTTCATACTTCAGATCAATTAATCTTGAGAGAGGGGGAGAAAAAGAAGATGTCCAAACCTAAGCTAAAATGATGATATTTCTTCCCAATTGCATGTTTTGACTCTAAATGACATTTTTTAATTTAAGTCTGCTAGGTCCTAGTGGAAGGTAGCTAAGTCAGTTATTTAATTCAAAACAGGTATCAGGAAAAATGAATAAATGCTTTCAGAAAGAGAAGTACAAACTTTAGTAGTTGAGTTTTGTCTCTTTTCTCCTTGATAACAGACTCTCAAAGAGTGACTGCCATTCCTGAGGGCCAAAGAGAGGCGCTCAGCCTTGTTGAATCACCAAGAGACAACATGCCTGAGTGCATCTTGTTGCTCCAGAGAGTGAGAAGTGATAAGTGGACTCGAGTGGAATAAGCCCAGACACAGGCACTTCTGCTGAGCTAAATTTTGAAACTTGGAACTGGAGGTTTCCTTTTTTTTGTTTTGTTTTGTTTTGGTTTTTTTTTTTTTTGGTGATGGTCCTGAGACTTAAACTCAGCTCTGGGCACTGTCCCTGAGCTTTTTTTGCTCAAGGCTAGCACTCTACCACTTGAGCCACAGCTCCACTTCAGCCTTTTTTGGTGGTTTGGTTGGAGATAAATGTCTCATGGACTTTCCTAATGAGTCTGAACTACAATGCTCAGATCTCAGCTTCTTGAGTAGCTAGGATTATAGGCATGAGCCATCGATGCCCAGTGCTGGAATTACCCCCCCCCCCACACACACACACACTTTCTTTTTTCTTTTGGTTGACTGTGGGGCTTGAACTCAGGACCTGGGTGCTGGCCTTGAGCCTCTCTGTGCTCAAGGCTAGAGTTGTACAACTTGAGCCACAGGGCCACTTCTGGTTTTTGAATGGTTAATTAGAGAAAAGAGACTCACAGGGACTTTTCTGCCCTGGATGGCTTCAAATCGCAATCCTCAGACCTCATCTTGGCCTCCTGAGTAGCTACGGTTACAGGTGTGAGCCATCAGTGCCCAGATTGGACTTCCTTTTTAATAAAAGACTATACACTACTGCTTAAGTCAAAGGAGCTGAAACTTCTTAATGGGGAGATAGTAACCAAAATATTTTAGAAGTTCATTTTTTAAGATCTTGACTAAAGGAATAAAAATCACTTGCTATTGTAAACATAGATTTTTCTCTTTTTTCGATCACACGGTATAGGGGAAATAAATAGAAAGAAAAGTAACTAACTTTCTGTTAATGTTGCTATCGCTGTGGTCTTGATCTCCAGGACAGTGCAAGGCTCCAGAACAATTCTCCTCTGCCAAGCCTACAACTCCAATTGATGAGTCTGAGTTTCCCATCGGAACATCTTTGAAGTATGAATGTCGCCCTGGGTTCATACGGAGACAGTTCTTGATCACCTGCCTCCCAAACTCCGAGTGGACAGATGTTTCAGATAAGTGTATACGTGAGTAACTCTAATCCGGGAAATCTTTTGGATCTGTCCAAACACTTTGTTCAGGAGTTAGAAGTTAAGACACACAGGAGCAAATAACTTACAGTATATGTGACATGTCTTACAGATCCTATCTTTTTACAATGAGTTCCTGGCACCTCTGATATGAGTTTACTTTATAAGAAAAAACCATTGCATTGCACAATTGAGGGGTTTTCCATTTTTACAACTATGTAATGAATGAGTGAGAAGGAAAGTATAATACATTAAATAACTAAAAAATAAGAAAATGCCAGCATGTGTTTGAGACCTGTGAATTAGAATACCTGGATAAGACTCTGATAATAAATGAACTGTGTATGTTTCTGGGAGTCATAGTGTGAGAGATGAGAAAGTAATGAGAGCTAGTCTTTTGGAAAGGAAGGCCTTTCCTAGTGGCTGATTCTAACGTGGTCTGATTAGCTTCCTCAGAGTTACAGTATCTGTGACATTATCACAATCACACATGCTCTACAGTAAGTTATACCTGGGTTAAGACTTCTTGTACTAATAAAAAAAAAAAGTTTCAGATGACTTTACCTGGCTTCAAAATTCTGTTTCTTTCCCATAGGTAAACCATGTAACACTCCTCCAGATCCTCTGAATGGCAGGGTGCATGTACAAACAGATACGCGGTTTGGATCTACAATCACTTACACCTGTAACCAAGGGTGAGTTAGACTCAATGGCTCTTAGTTCAAAGGTGCTAGAATAGCAGTACTACCTTCCAGTCACATCTAGAAGCCAGTATCTCTAGTGAATAGAGAAATGCAAATTAAACCCACCTTATACTAATGAAGATTGTACTATTCTAAAAGGTAGACTATAATAAGGGTTAATGAGCCTGTAAAGAAATTAAAGTCCTCCTACACCGAATGGCTTGCAGATTCTGAATGAGGCACTAGCCCAGCCTGTCTGAAGACTGCAGCAGCAAGCCCACCCTTCTGTTCTGCCAGACTGTCCACTCAGAAACTTTCCTTAGACAATAACATCCAGAGTTCATAACCACGACATCTGCTTTAGAGGAAATGTTGAAAGGAGCTCTTCAAATTGTAATAAATAGGCCTGGTAAAGGAAAGTATAAGGCAAAGTTAAATTTTCATGCCTAGTCCAAGTGAAGATGTAACCAGCTTTAATGTAGCTCATTCATTATAAGTCACTTTAGGTACACTTATGATAAACCACAAAGACAAAACCCACCCCCCTCCCCCAAAAAGAACAAACTAAGCCCTAAGTCAGCAGAAAGAAAGAAATAATAACTAGCAGACAGAAATAAATGAAATGGAGACTGTGACTATAAAAATATAGAAGAGCAATAAAACTAAATATTGGTGTTTTTGAAAGATGAAAACAAAAACCAGGGTTGGGAAGGTGGCTCAGTGGTAGAGCGCTTGCCTGAGGTCCTGGGTTCGATTCCTCAGTACCACATAAGCAAAAAGAAAAAAAGCCAGAAGTGGCGCTGTGGCTCAAGTGGTAGAGCGCTAGCCTTGAGCCGAGCTGAGGGACAGCGCCAAGGCCCAGAGTTCAGACCCCACTACTGGACCCAAAGAAAAAACAAAAAGAAAACCATTAGCGATACTAAGAAAAGAAGAATGCTCATGAACAAGGGAATATTAAAAATAGCAATGTAAACACCTGTGCACTTAGCTTATAATGTCCCTTCCTCTCTGCTTCTAGATTCCGGCTCCTGGGACCTTCCTCTGCCCTATGCATCCTCTCAGGAAACACTGTGGTTTGGGATAATGAAGCGCCTGATTGTGAGAGTGAGTTTGAATTTCCCTTTCTACCATTTTTACTAGTGAATTGATTTCCCTCTGGAATGATATATTCTTTCCAGTGCTAGGAATCTCTATGTCTATGAGTTTGTCCTTTCTCTTGTAAGTTCTAATAGTTTTAATGTATTCATTTTAAGACTGCCTTACAACATGCATGAACATTTGGGTTTGTTTGTATCTTTCTGCTGAATGGCTTTTTTTTATTATAAGGAAACATATCTCTGGTCATATTTTTTCCTTAAAGGGTACTTTGTATGTAATTACTATAACTATACCAGCGTTTTTGTTTTTCATTTTTGCATCACATATGTTTCAACTCTTTTACTTCCAGACTTTCTTTGTTTGGTAAGTATCATCTAGTCAGGCTTCATTTTTCCTATCTAAATTGAAGTTTTCCATTGGAGTGTTTAGAACATTTACATTTGATAAGGTTACTAATGTAGTTAAGTATAAGTCTAACATCTGATTATTTCATGTTTATTTCTTTGTGCCAGTACCTGGGTTTGAACTCAGAGCCTCTTGCTCTTACTTGGCTTGCTTACTCTTGGCTAGTGCTCTAATAATTGAGCCACAACTCCAGTCTGGCTTTTTGCTGCTTAATTGGAGGTGATGGCTTAGAAACTTTTCTTCCTGAGCTAGCTTAAAACCTTGATCCTCCAGATCTTAGCCTGCTGCTGAGTAGCCACCGGTACCCAGTTTTACTTCTCACACTTTTTTTTTGTTTTGTTTTGTGTTTTGTTTTTTTTTTCCGGTCATGGGGCTTGAACTCTGGGTGCTGTCTCTGAACTCTTCAGCTCAAGGCGAGTGCTCTACCACTTCCGGCTTTTTCTGCTTAGGTGGTGCTGAGGAGCCCAGGGCCTCATGCATGCAAGGCAAGCACTCTACCACTGAGGCACCTTCCCAGCCCCATTTCTCACACTTTTTAATTAATCAAGTATTTTTTTATTATTCCACATTTTTCCTCAACACCTATTAAACTATGTCTTTTTTTTTTTTTTTTTAATATTCTTACTCTCAAAGAGTGACCCAAAGGTGGCAGCCTACATCCTTGATTTTCTAGACTGGAATTTAACTTCTGCTTTTACCACATCTCCAACAGCACAGGAAGAACCCAGATAGCAAGCTAGCTCCATTTTTACCTTCCTGCCCTTTTCTTAGTGCTGTCATTCTTCTATTCCAGAAGATATTGCTATTATTCAAAAGTAGCACTTAGCTGGGTGCTAGTGTCTCACACCTTCATCCCTCCTACTTCCTCCACAAGGCACTAAAAGAACCTAGAATAAGGTTACTAGTGACTCATGCCTATAATCCTAACTACTCAGGAGGCTGGTATCTGAGGATTGCAGTTCCAAGCCAGCCTGGACAGGAATTACCACTAATTTACTTCCTGTAAGCTGAAAGTAGGGCTATGGTTCAAGTGGTACAGCCATTAGCCTTGAGCAAAAGAGCTCAGACAGTGCACAAGGCCCTGAGTTCAAGAGCAGAACCAATGCGCGTACACACACACACACACCACACACACCCAGCAATTATTTTCCATTTACCATAGGGTGTAGGGTAAAACCTTCTAATTATATTTTGCCTCTGCTTCCATTTGAATATCATAACCCCCCCCCCCCCCCCCCCCCCCCCCCGCCGCCTCCATCCACCCTGAGCCACACTGTTATTTTCCCTGGTTTCAGTTACCCAAGGTCAGCTACAATCCAAAAATGATTCAATGGAAAATTCCAGAAAGAAAAAAAGCTTGTAAGTTTGTTTGTTTGTTTTGTGAGTACTGGGGCTCAAACACAGGGCCTTCTGCTCTCACAAGGTTATCATAATTATAACCCGAGTTACGATATTGTAAAACGTACCTATGCATTAAACCTAGATTAAAAGCAGACAGTGCATGTAAAAATCATTCATTTGGGGAGTCACCTAGTTTCTCTCCTGTATCATTTAAATTGCCCAGGAATTCTCTGTGAGCCTCCGCCAGCCATTCCCAATGGAGAGATCCTGAGCAGCAGTGAAGATTTCCAGTATGGCATGGTGGTGACCTATCGCTGCACACCTGGACCGAGAGGGAAGAAGCAGTTTAACCTGGTGGGAGAGCCATCCATACACTGCACCAACGATGCAGATAATAATGGCATGTGGAGTGGCCCACCCCCTCAGTGCATCACAGTCAATACCTGCACTCCTCCAAGTGTGAAAGACGCAGTCATGGTGTCTGGCAACAGGAGCTTATTTTCCTTACATGATACAGTACAGTTTCAATGTCAGCTTGGCTTCGTCATGAAAGGACCCACCAGTGTGCAGTGTGGGGCCCTGGGCAAATGGGAGCCGGAATTACCAAGCTGCTCTAGGGGTGAGTCTGAGGCCTGCAGAGCCCTGTGGTGACATGAGTGGTTGGAGGACCAGAACATCAGCACTGATTCTAGAGGAGGGCTGTGTGATAAGCACAGTTGGCTGTCAGTTGTCTTGGGAGGTAGAAATTGTGTGTGTGTGTTTGTGTGTGTGTGTGAGCGCGTGTGTGCGTGTGCGCACACACATGCACACATGGGTGCTCTGCAAACATTTATATAAACACATGCATTCAAGTTAAGAAGCAAAACTGAATCTAAGAATGCATGTGTCCTTGTGCTTCTCATAGAAAGGAGTTCTCTACCTGTGTCACTAGCTCCAGCCTCCATTACCTATCCATTACACATCTATCAATAATTGCTAAGGCCTGATGAATGATTCATCTAATCAGGCAGCCACCCTGGTTACAGGAAATTTGCACATTTCATTCTGAAAATAGATCCAGAAGGCAGTTACCACTCTGTCCTTGTTTTACACAGACAATGTTCGAAAGGTTTGTTTTTCCAAGATAAAGCAGATACTAACGTATAGATCAAAAGGTAGAAGCTATGTCTACCTGTCTTTCTCCAGAGCCTATGCTCTACCAAATTCTTCAGTTAATGGAGGTATTTAATGCAAGGAATGGGTTATGAAGAGGTTGGAAAGGCAAGAAGAGCAGGAGGAAGGCAGTATCACCAGAGGGTCAGGGAGCAGCTATTACCCCAAGACTAGAACACAGAGCCAATGCTCAGTGCCCACACAGCAGGCCCTGCTAATGCTGCAGGCACTGCCTCTGCTGCCAGCATGTAGCTGGTTTTGGGGGAACCCAGATTGCTCTGATTAAAGTTGCTGCTGCTAGGGTGAAAACTCTGAAGGCTGCCACTGCAGCAGCTACCTCTAGAAAGAGAAGGCATTCTGTCACTTTCTTTTAATTTAGTATACATGGAGGTGAAGCAATTGTAGTCAGTGTGAGGCTACAAAACCCACCAACCTTAGTAATTTTACTCCATGTGAACAGAATTTGGACGAATTCTACAAGGAACTAGGATTCCTTAAGCATAGATATATTCTTAATCATGGATGTTACAGAAAAAACAAAGAACTAAGGCATCTTCTGTTCTTCAATGGATCATTTTTCTTTCTTTCTTTTTTTTTTTTTTTTTGTCTGTCACCAGGCTTGAACTCTGGGCCTGGGTGCTGTCGCTCAGTTTTTCCGCTCAAGACTAGTGCTCTACCGCTTAAGCCACAGCACCACTTCTGGTTTTCTAGTGGTTTATTGGAGATGAGTCTCTCGGAGTTTCCTGCCCAGGCTGGCTTTGAATTATGATCCTCAGATCTCAGCCTCCAAAGTAGCTATGATTACACGTGTGAGCCACCAGCGCCTGGCTAATGGATCATTTTTTAGTGGATCAGTTTCATGACTTTGTAGGTCCATTAATAGTTTTTTTTTCTAGTCCTAGGGCTTGAACTCAGGGTTTGAGCATTATCTCTGAGCCTCAAGGCTAGGGCTCTTATCACTTGAGCCACAGCTCCACTTCCAACTTTTTCTAAGTAGTTTATTGGAGATAGGAGGGTCATGAAGTTTCCTGCCTGGGCTGGCTTGGAACCATGATTCTCAGATCTTAGTCTCTTGAGTAGCTAGGCTTATAGGCATGAGCCATTAATAGTTGTGGGTTTATATGTGTGTGTGTGTGTATGTATATGTATATATATATATACATATATATATATATATATATATATATACACACACAAACTGTAATACCCATAGTAATACCAATATTTTTAGCCAGTTCACCATTGAAGGGAAAAAACTGTTTTATGGAATGAATGGTGCTTTGGTTCTCTTTCTCCAGGATGCCAGCCTCCTCCAGGAATCCTGCATGGCCAGTATAGCCCAAGCGTGGACATCTTTTCAGTAGGGCAGGAAGTACTCTACAGCTGTGACCCCGGCTATGACCTCAGCGGGGCTGCGTCTCTGCAGTGCACACCCCAGGGAGACTGGAGCCCCGAAACCCCAACGTGTGCAGGTGTCTAGACTCGCAACTGGCTTTCACATCACTCTGCCTCTCCCACGTCAGACTTAATTCCTCTTTTCTTTTTTCCCCTCCTAGTGAAATTATGTGATGACGTCACCAGCCAACTCCTTCATGGTCATGTGGAACTTCCACTAAGTCTACAATTTGGGGCAAAAGTGACCTTCAGTTGTGATGAAGGGTGAGTTTGACTTGGAAGAGAGAGACCCAGAGACTCCGTACTAGATAATGACTGTGTCGAATTCAAGAGTACACATACAGATTGACTTAGTAGAAGGCCATCAACTTCTGGTGGAAAGATAGTTTTTTATTTGTTTTGTTGTCGGTCATGGGGCTTGAATTCAGGGCCTGGGCACTGGCCCTGAGCTTTTTTGTTCAAGGCTTGCACTCTACCCCTTTAGGCCACAGCTCTACTTCCAGTTTTCTGGTGGTTAATTGGAGGTAAGAGTCTCATGGACTTTTTCCTGCCTGGGCTGGCTTCGAACCACAATCCTCAGATCTCAGCCTCCTGAGTAGCTAGGATTACAGGAGTGAGTCACTGGTGCCTGGCATGGAAGGGTAGTTGTAAAATAAGTTATGAACTTAGTGGTGCCAACAGTAGGAGAGAAAGTGAAAGTACACGCAGAGACAGTAGCTGATCTTGGTGTGTTAGCTGGCATTTGAAGTGTCTAGATAAGTGATGACTGGAAAGTTAAATGCATACTTTCATAAAAAATTTGGTAGGGGAAAAAAGTTCTAAGAATAAGAGAAAATTGTTCACCCAATAACGAGTTATCCAAGAGTTGCTTCAGGATACTTAAAACTAATTAGTAGTGGAATTTATATTAGTAAATGGATAAGGGTGCTTTGATCTAATCATTTTTCTTCATGTCAGTGCTGTCTTTGATGTTGGGACCATAATGGCCAATGTTGGTGCTTCAGGCGGTATTATTAGTTGCTTGAATAAATCCAACACTCTTGGTGGAAGTGGATACTATTGGTCTATGGGAAGTTAAGAAGATTGAGCAATAAAATGATTACTCTTTTAATACTTCCTCAGAAATCTTTGCCATTTACAAAGTCTACTGCCCAATAATGATCTCCAGTTTTAGAAGGTGTAGGTGTCAGAAGGATCCTGTAATTAGCTGGGCATTTTAGTGTGACTGACTCCTCTGCTCCCCTCCTCCCTCCCCATTCAGAACATTTGCTTCAGTATGCTTCTGTGATCTTCCTTCTTGCCCGTTGCAATTATACTAGTAGGCAGGTGCTAGTGTCTCATGCCTAATAATCCTAGCTACTCTGAGGATCGTGGTTCAAAGCCAGCCTGAACAGGAAAGTCCATGAGGCTCTTATCTCCAGTTAATAACCAAAGTGGAGCTGTGCTCCAGTGGTAGAGTGCTAGCAAAAAAGCTCAGGGAGAGTGCTGATGCCTGAGTTCAAGCTCCAGAACAGGCACACACACACACACACACACACACACACACACACACACACACACACACACGCACACACATGCACACACACACACACACACACACACACACACACACACACACACACAAGCAATGATAGCAGCAAAGAGAACAGGGCCTATTCTCTTTCTATCCCCTTGCTTATTTGTTCACCCAAATCAAGAGCTCTTTCCCTCCTGACCCACTGATGGGGACAAGTAGGATGTTGGCAGGCCACCAGCGAAAGATAGGCTCTGATCATGATCTGTGCTTATAAGGACGTCTGGTTCTATGTTCAGTGCCTTCCCTAGCGGATGGTGGGCAGTGGAATCTGTATGATGACTAAGCATACCAGCTCTAAGCACTTTGACAGTCAACAGAGTATTGAGAGGTGCTAATGAATTCAGATCCCTAATGAAATGCGGCTTTTATCTAGGCCTAAGCCTAAGAACCAGATTCTCTTTAGGCCCAAGTGAAGAATCTGAACATCTGTTCATATAAAGGAGAGTGGGAATTATTCAACCTGATTCTGATTTCTTTCTTAGGTTCCGATTAAAAGGCAACTCAGCTAGTTATTGTGTCTTGGCTGGAATAAAAACCCAGTGGAACAGCAGTGTTCCTGTATGTGAACGTGAGTAGAAAGCCGCCTGTGTAGTTCCACTTATTTATTTTCCGGTGTATTTTGCCTCATGTATAATCAGTTGCCTGGATCATTACTGCTAAAACAAATACTTCTTTATTGGGAAAATTTCAAGAGAGGTCTTGTTGGTCTTATATATCATACATTATTGCATTAACCTGTACATAAATAGCTTAATAATGTTGAGCCTCATGGGAAAGAGATGTTAGAAGAGATTAAGTTATATAAAGGTATGTCAGATTTTATTATTTTTCAGTTTTGTCATCAAGAAGTAATCTCTCTGCACTCTTTATGCTCTTTTATCCCAAGTTATCTAAGCTTTTTATTCATCCTGTCCTTCAGTCTGTATTGTTTACCAGCAGAGGATTTCTCATATGTAGAAAGAGTAAAGAGTAGGAAAAACTTCTGTTTTCATGGAGATCATTTTCTAGTTGGGACACAGATGATAAGAAGGAAATTTTTTTAATTAAAAAAAAACACTATAGACTATAGAGGTTAAGAATGTGGCTCAAGGGCTGGGAAGGTGGCTCAGTGGTAGAGCGCTTGGCTTGCATGCATGAGACCCTGGGTTCGATTCCTCAGCACCACATAAGCAAAAAGAAAAAAGCCGGAAGTGGCGCTGTGGCTCAAGTGGTAGAGCGCTAGCCTTGAGCTGAAGAGCTGAGGGACAGTGCCCAGAGTTCAGGCCCCAGGACCAGACCCCCAAAAAAGAAAGTGATTTAATCTTCATCAGCAACATGGATTAATAAAACCTATAATTAAAAAAAAAAAAAAAAAAAGAATGTGGCTCAAGGGGCTGAGAATGTGGCTTAGTGGCAGAGTACTTGACTAACATGCATGAGGCCCTGAGTTTGATTCCTCAGTATCATAATAATAATAACAAAATAAAAGAATATAGTTCAGTGGTAAAGCACTTGTTTCCCTGGCAAATATGAGGCCCTGAGTTCAATCCCTAGTTCTGTAAAAACAGAAATTCAAGGCTATATAAAATAGCACGTTAAACAGTGATATGTGAGAAAGAGAATAAAACAGGTTTGCATGAGAGGCTGGCATTGTGCAGGGTGCTGAGGTGGTGAGCCACATCTTTGAAGTAATGAGGTGCCTTACATTTCAAAATTGATATCTTCTAAAGATGATAGGAATAGCTTCACAAAGATTTCCCTGGACTTTAAGGACCAAATAAATCTCCATCTGTCTTTTCGTTGTCAACCCAGGGCTTTTGTTATGCCTGGTGTAAAGTACGCAACCAAGTGGTTATTGGCAAAACAAATTAATCACTTTCCAAATTCATTAAAAACAGCTAAGTGGTCCAGGCATCTGTCTTTTGGACTTGTGCCAAAGACAACATTTAGACCATATGTCAGTTCTTTCTTAGCAAGAAAAAAAAATAACAGCTTCGAGTTCCACTCACGTAAGGTATATCCTTTCTAAAAGGGGGAAAGAAAAAAACTGCCAATAATCTATTCACAGGGTACCCTTCTCAGCGTATTAGTTCTCTGGATTTGAACTCTAATAGAACTTAACCACTTATCTTCTTTCTAGAAATATTTTGCCCAAACCCTCCAACTATCCTTAATGGAAGACACACAAGCACGCTTCTGGGAGATATTCCCTATGGGCAAGAAGTGTCTTATACTTGTGACCCTCACCCAGACAGAAGGATGACCTTTAACCTCACGGGGGAGAGCACCATCCGCTGCACCAATGACAGTCAAGGGAATGGGATTTGGAGTGGTCCTCCCCCTCGCTGTGACCTTTTTGTTCCCTCTAGTTAGTATCCATTTCTACATATCCTAAATGGGTTGACAATCTGCAAGAATCTCCTTATTCCTTCAGTGGCAGTCAGTTTTGCTTGTGAACCTGGCTTCGTTAGGAATGGTAGAGACAAAACTGTCCCCTAGGTGAATGGAAGATGGGTTCTAGATGTGACATGCTGGTAATAGTCTAGCTAAGCCCAATAGTGCATACCTGTAGTTCCAGCTACTTAGGAGGTTGAGCTAGGAAGATTGAGCCCAGTAGTTCAATGTCAACCTGGCAATATAATGAAATTCCATCAAAAAAACAAAACAAAGCTTTATGTAAAACCAATTTGTTGGTCTTCTAATGGCCTTTTCTATGAGTTGAAAATGAAGAGTTGGGAAGTAAAGAGAATTGGTAATATCCAGATTTTATGGAGAATAGTTTAACAACACTGAAAAGTGTCAAAACAAATGTTCTTTCATGGCATATTACTGTTAGTTGTCTTTTACTAGACAGATATACACAAGAGAAAAAACGATATATTCTATATATCTGAGGGGCTGGGAAGGTAGCTCAGTGATAGAGTGCTTGCCTTGCATGCATGAGGCCCTGGGTTCGATTCCTCAGCACCACATAAGCAGAAAAAGCCGAAAGTGGCACTGTGGCTCAAGTGGTTGAGCGCTTGCCTTGAGCTGAAGAGCTGAGGGACAGCGCCCAGGCCCAGAGTTCAGGTACCATGAACAAAAAAAAGGAAAAAAAAGAAAAGATATATTCTATATATCTGAGATCAATGTGGTTTACTATACTAGATAGTCATCCACAATTTACTTCAGAATGGATAATGCTTTGAATAATTAATGAAATGCAGATATAAGTATTCATATTCTATGATTTCCCAAGTGCTTTGTTCAAGCTGCTGCCCACATTTGGTTAGCCTTTTCTCTCACCATTAACAAAAGCAGCTCGGGATAACCTGGATCAATGAAGGTTTAGGATGTGCTCTTAGTCTCTGTAGTTCATTTTTTAAAAACAAGTTCATCTGGCTTTAAAGGAGAGTCCCTGATGATCTTAGGCTCATTTGAGGCTCTGCTGGTTATTATGAGCTCTCCATTCTCCAGTAAGAATGGAACAGCATTGAACTGATGGACATCTGTGGGCCTTCTATCTGATAGGAGAGAATACAGAGGACTGTGTCTAAATACTGAGTTCTGGGTGGATATCTGATAGGAGAGAATACAGAGGACTGTGTCTAAATACTGAGTTCTGGGTGGAAAGAATCAGTCTTCTACTCATTAGCTAACAGTGAGTGATTCATGACCTGCCTGCCTCGGGTCTTCATGCAGCCTGAGATACCTGGGTTGCTGTATTTGCACTTCTCAGCTGAACTTGGTGTCTTTTCTTGGTTTGTGTGTGAACTTGGTCTTAGCTTGCCCACATCCACCCACAATCCAGAACGGGCACCACATTGGTGACTACACATCGTCATATCTTCCTGGGATGAAAGTCAACTACAACTGTGACCCCGGCTACCTGTTGGTGGGAAGGGGCTTCATTTTTTGTACACATCAGAGAACCTGGAGCAAATTTGATCATTATTGCAAAGGTATCTCATTTCTTGATATTTCTTATTCTGTGTTCTTACAGAAAATTTACCACAAGGCTAGTGAGATTGAGCTTTCATTGACATGATGCTTTAGCAAGATTGGGAGGATAGTACTGGTACTGGGGCTTGAACTCAGGGCCTGGGAGCTATTCCTTAGGTCTTTCATTCAAGGCTGGTGCTTTACCATTTGAGCCACACCTCTACTTCCAGCTTTGGGGGATTAACTGGAGATAAGAGTCTCCTGGACTTTCCTTCCCAGGCTGGCTTCAAACCTTGATGCTCAGATCTCAGCCTTGTGAGTAGCCAGGATTACAGGCGTGAACCACCAATACCTAGCTGATGAATGAGTATTGATGGAAAAGGGAAAAGCAAAACAAACCATAGGAAGGCACACTCCCAAGACCTTCCAAGGATTAATTCTACTACTCAATAAAACCCCTGTTTCCAATAACACACCAAGAAATCCAGAAGTAGAGCTGTAGCTCAAGTAGTAGAGTACTAGCCTTGAGCTGAAAAAAGCTCAGAGACAACGCCCAAGGCCTGGATTCAAGCCAGGACTAACAAAAAGCAAACAAAAAAAAAGAAGAAAGAGAAAGATATCCCATGACTCCACAGGATTCTGAGATCTTTCCAGAAGTTACTTGTGTTAGACTTCAAAAAAATCTGAAGAGGGCTGGGAAGGTAACTCAGTGGTAGAGCGCTTGCCTTGCATGCTTGAGGCCCTGGGTTCGATTCCTCAGCACCACATAAGAAAAAAGAAAAAAGCCAGAAGTGGCGCTGTGGCTCAAGTGGTAGAGCGCTAGCCTTGAGCTGAAGAGCTGAGGGACAGCGCCCAGGCCCAGAGTTCAGGCCCCACGACCGGATCCCCCAAAAAAAAAAAAATCTGAAGAAACGAGGTTCTTATTCTTGCAGTCCCACAGAGGAAAAGATTAAGGCCAGAGAAACCCAATCACTAGTCCTTGTTACCCAGCTTATGAGTGTGAGAGAGGAGAGCGGTCAAAGGTTGGACCCCAGAATCCCTGCCTGTATCCTGGCTGTACACTATGCCATATGTTGTTTCCTTTATATTAAAAAAAATGGGGTAGTTTTAATTTAGAAGCCTGTAAGCTAAGTGTTTTTGCTTTGTAGTATTTTTATTTCATGTATTCTTTTTTTGTGTGTGTGCCGGTTGTGGGGCCTGAACTCTGGGCCTGGGCACTGTCCCTGCTATTCAGCTCAAGGCTAGCGCTCTGCCATTTGAACCACAGCGCCACTTCTGGCTTTTTCTGCTTATGTGGTGCTGGGGAATCGAACCCAGGCCTCATGCATGCAAGGCAAGCACTCTACCACTGAGCCACCTTCCCAGCCCCATATTCTTTTTTTTAGACCAATTAGGCTGAGGGCAGGGTAGGCAGAGGGTCACGTTCAGACATGCCCCAGAGTTCTATGGCCCACCCAGCTGCAGGAACATTGAGTCCTGTCTCTCCACAGAGTCTCAGAAACCCTTCTCAGTGTTGCCAGCCCTCTCATTCTAGAGACAGAGAAAAAGCAGCCCATCACAGTAAGAGCAGTGATGCTTCTGTGCTAATCATAGCAAGAATAGGTTGCACATAACACACAGTTCTGCGGCTCTGCTTATGTCTAGAAGTTCATGTGTTGGAAGTGGAAGCATGGTTCAAGTGGTAGAGTGTCAACCTTGAGTGAAAAAATAAACACAAGGCTACAGGTTAAGCTCCAGTACTGGCGCGCGCACACACACACACACACACACACACACACACACACACACACACACACACACACACACACACACACACACACACACACACACACACACACACACACACACACACACACACCAGAAGATCATGTGCTTCTGTCACATAAAATGTTTGAAAATTCAAAAAATACTTCTCCAGTACTGGCACGCACACACACACACACACACACACCAGAAAATCATGTGCTTCTGTCACATAAACACACACACACACACACACACACACACACACACACACACACACACACACACACACACACACACACACACACACACACACACACACACACACACACACACACACCAGAAGACCATGTGCTTCTGTCACATAAAATGTTTGAAAATTCAAAAAATATTTCAGCAGTGGGGGTTGAGACTCTGGGAAAGTTCTTCTAAAAATAAAAGGGGAATATGCCCTTTGCTGGGAACTGCTTTCTTCTCATTTATATATTTATTCAAATATGACAAGTATTGAATATTTATAATTCATTTTGTCTTAACTGTCCTCTTCAAGCATGCTTTCTACTAGTGATTTTTCATCCAGAGCATGAGCAAAAATCAGCTAGGAACTTTGGTAAAAGAACAGGTTCTTCTTCTTCATTCCATGGACTTGCTGTTTACCAAAGGGGTCTGTTGTTTTTAAATCCATCTACTATTTTCATACAGGAAGATCACATGATACTTATAAAGGAAAAATAATACTTTAGGCTAATTTTGAGGCTCTTATAAGACAGACATTTCTCTTGAAGCTGAAGAAAGTAATGATGGGTAGGTAGAAAAAACAAAAGGAACGGTTAAGTAAGATAAAGTAAATCAAGTGGGAAAAAATCATACTTAAAATTCAAAATCATGACTAACTTCTTTATGTGTGGAAATGGGCCAGATATGCATGTAACTGACCAAAAAATACCAGTATATGTTAGATATCTTGGAAGAATTAAATGACACTGCTGTTGCCTTATGGTAGGACCCAAGTGAATCCAAAGGTAGAATGTGACTGTCCTAACTCCTCAGCCTTCTGGAACTTTCCAGTTGCAGAATAAATAATCAAAAGTATTCCATGTTCCTTCACTGTATAGCAGAAATAGAAGTAGGGGATTGTTAAATCATAGGATATTTGGAAGAGTCAAAGGTCAACTGACCTTTCAATCAACTCTTGATTGAAAACATGTCTCCTCTTTGCCAAATGCAAAGTAAGTGTAGGATTCCAGGTATTTCTATTGGGATGATTGCAGCTAACAATTATAGCTTGGTTCTGATTTTTCTGGTTTCAGAAATAAAATGTAGCCTCCCACCATTTATGGATGGAATCCGGAAGGAGATGGGAATTAAAGAAGAATATCATTATCAGGAAAACATAACTCTAGAGTGCCAACATGGGTATACATTGGAAGGCAGCCCCTGGAGCCAATGCCAAGCGGATGGATGGCACCCTCAATTGGCTGTATGTACATCTAGTAAGTATAAGGGCAATGAATGTAGCCCTTCCTAGCTGTGGTGACTTTTCATTCACCCGTCTTGCACCAAGTATAATGTGATATTTATGGTCTTGACTAATGAAGAAATCAAAGATATTCCATCTCAAGAAAAGAATTACAAATTGGAAGAGCAACTGTCTCATGATGAGATTACCTGAGGAATTGTAACTGCAGGAAGGGACATTTAGCCTGTGCCTTCCTTCGACTGTTTTGCTGGGACTAGGAGTATTGCTCAGTGGTAGTGCTATCTGTCTACTTTAATGCACTTGGCTCCAGGTTGGATCAGTGGTAGTGCTATCTGTCTACTTTAATGCACTTGGCTCCAGGTTGGATCCTCAACACTGCAAAGAAAAAAAAAATGTGTCCCGGAGGGACGTCTGCCCCTTGTCAAGGCAGGAAAAGAACTTTAATCGTCAGTAACTAGACATTGAAGCTATAATTTACTAGAATAAGTAAATTGATCGGTGTTCCCTTCCTCCTCCTCCTCTTCTTCCTCCTTCTGTTTGCTGACACTGGGCTTGAATTCAGGGCTTCACATTCTCACTTTGCTTTTTTCTTTAACGCTGGTGCTCTACCTCCTGAGGCACACCTCCACTTTCAGCTTTTGGCTAGTTAATTGGAGATAAGACTGTCATGGGCTTTTTTTCTCAGGCTGGCTTTGAACCTTGATCCTCAGATCTCAGTATTCTGAGAATTACAGGGGTGAGCCACCAGCACCTGGCATGTTTCTTATTGATGTTCCTAAAACTAGCCCTTCATTCCTTTGCCAGTTCAGGATTTTTCCTCTAAAAAGTCTAAAAAAAAAACAAACATCTGCTTAGGTCATTCCTTCAGACACCCCATGTACATATAAGTCAAATAAAACGTTTAATTTTGTTAATCAGCCTGTTATTAACTTGGTTCCTAGATTCGTCTGTAAACTAAGGAGTGACAGAGGAGATCTCTTCTTTCTCACACTTCTTTGTTTCTTTCTGGCAATCACTGGGCTTGATCTCAGGGCCTGGGCACTGTCCCTGAGCTCTTTTGCTCAAAGTGAGGGCTCTACCACTTTGTGATCCACAGTGCCAGTGCCACTTCAGGTTTTCTGGTGGTTCATTAGAGAGAAGAGTCTCACGGACTTTCCTGCCCAGGCTGAATTCGAACTGTAGTCCTCAGATCTCAGCCTCCTGAGTAGCTAGGATTATAGGTGTGAGCCACCAGTGCTGGTGCCTGACACCACACTTCTTGATATCCACCTACTAGCTCTTCCCAGAAAGCTTATGGCAATGAGAAGAGGACCAGCCTTTCTCTCCTCACTCTCCTCAAGGAGTCCTCTGTGTTGTCTGTGTATATCACTTCAGAGTTGCACGCATCACATGATTTCTTTATAGACTGGGAGCCTTAAAAGCTAGGCATACTTCAGTGGGAAAGAAGGCCTTCAAGAAAACTTACCAGCATGGGTCAGGGAGTACTTTCCCTGCAGCAGAGCTCAGGCCCTCCATTCTCAATGCTGTAGGTTGCAGGAATAGCAGTCCAGACCAGACTATTGGGAAAATAACTAGAAGGCAAAATGAGCTGGAGGCATGGCTCAGGTGGTACAGTGCCTGCTTAGCAAGCACAAGCCCTGAGTTCAAACCCAGGACAAGAAAATAATTAACTGAGTATTAAAGATTGTCCTGCACACAAGAGGCTGTTGGATTATGTTGTATGCCAGATTGATGTTGTGATTTTCCTTTTTAGGCTCACGTACTACTCTCATAATTGGTAAGTTTTGTGAAGGGGTTGTGGTATCTCTGACAGTAAGTATCTACTTGTTTAACTTTTTACCTTACTTAGCTACTTATAATGAATACAGTGTAAAAAGAGATCAAAAGACCATCATAAGGTTCAATTAAAATGAAAATAAGTGTATTTTTCATCAAAGGATTTTTTTTTACTACTTTGAACCATTACAAATGAAAAAAATCATCCTTTCGTGTAAAAAAAAAAATCATTGTTTGGGGGCCAGAGACATGGCTCAAGTGGTAGAGTACCTGTCTAGCAAGTCAAAGGCCCTAAGTTCAAACCCTATTATGGAAAAAATATATACATAGGTGTGTACATGTGTATACTTATATATAGAGAGAGAGGTATGTGTAGATAGAGGAGGGAGAAAGAGAAATATTTCAATGTGAGTAGAGACAGCAACTTCCTCTTTGCTTCCAGATGGTAATCTTGCACAAACTGAAAGCAGCAGGACTGGTTTGCTGAGTTCATTTCTATGGTTTGTCTATATAAGAATAGGTGTTTTATTTTGTTTGTTTTTGGTGCTCATACAGGGGCTTTAAATGAGGGCCTCACGTTCCCACTTAGCTTTTTCCATTGAAGACTGGTACTGTACCACTTGGGCCACAGCTCTATGTCTGGCTTTACACTGGTTAATTGGAGATAAGAGTCTCATGGAGTTTTGTGCCCAGATTGGTTTCAAACTACAATCTTCAGATCTAAGCCCCTTGAGTAGCTAGAATTGCAGGCGTGAGCCACCAGAGTCTGGCAGGAAAACTTTTATAGTAGTGTTTGCTCCAGAGGAAATTCCTGTTGCTTAGAGTAGCCTGTGTCTTATGTCTTACAGAAGAGACATGGCCAGGCCACAAGAACTACAGCCCTGTGATATTTTCTGTCTACTTCCTGAAGGTCAACATGTAACCCTGAGATAGAACTTACAGTTGCATATAAAAGTTGCTTGGCAACCTTTAGGAGAATTAGGTATCAAGGTAGAATTTAAAACATCTGGGTGAAATTTTCCCCCTGCATTTAACTATTTTGTTTTCTTCTCTAGGCATCGTCTTAGGTATGATCTTCCTTATCTTACTCATCATTGTGCTATGTTGGGTAATTCCCAGGTACAAAAAACGGTAAGTACAGCCAAATTCTCAAATAAATGCACACTGTTGTATTTATGTCCTTTTATAGGTCAAAGGGAAGTAAAAGAAATTCTCAAACAAAACCCACTATAACATAGACAAATGTGGTCATTCTTATAAGGCAAGCCCTTGACATAAAATAGGGAAAGCAAGTATTTAGAAGTAAAGAAATGCACATGATAACTTTTTTTTAATATTTTCAAGTTGGCTGGTTGCTCATGCCTGTAATCCTAGGCTACTCAGGAGGCTGGGAGGATTACAGTTCAAAGCCAGCTAGGGCAGGAAAGTCCATGAGAGTCTTATCTCCAATTAATCACAGAAAAAGCTAGAAGTGGTGCTGTAGTTCAAGTGGTAGAGAACTAGTGGAGCAAAAAAGGAGCGCAGGGACAGTGCTCAGGCCCAGAGTTCAAGCTTCAGGATCAGCAAAATAAATAAATAAATGGAACATTTCAGAAGGAATTGAGAAAATGAGCAGAAAGAGGGCTTTGTTGTTGTTAAGACATTAATGAGCGGGGGGGTGCTGGTGGCTCACACTTGTAATCCTAGCTATACAGGAGACAGATCTGAGGATTGTGATTCAAAGCTAGTCTGGGCAGGAAAGTCCCTGAGCCTCTCCTCTCCAATTAGCCAGCAAAAAGCCAGAAGTGAGGTGTGGTTCAAGTGGTAAAGCACTAGCCTTGAGTGAAAAAGCTACGGGAATGAAAAAGCCTTGAGTTCAAACTCTAGAATCAGCAAAAAAAACAAAATGAAATTCTGCCTCCTGCTTCTATTTCTTCCACATTCATTAAAACCATCAAGTTCATCATAGAACCAGAGATGTGGCAGGGCAAAGGATACCAGTCTTCTTTATCCTCAAAAGTCAGGGAGGTCAGCCCCTCGTACATCAGAGCATCTTACGGTCAAAACCGGTACATCTGTGGCATCTGTAAATATTTCCTAAACTCTTTCAAAGCTTTCCTCTTTGGCCCATTATACTTCCTGGGCTAATGACTGCACACTTCCATCACAAAACACCATTTGTCTTCATGTTAGAAATAATCCATAACTAACTGGGGGGAGTAGTTACCATTTAAATTTAGATTCTCAGGATATAGAAGTCTTTCTCCTAGAATCCATTGAGCTGATCCATCACCATCTTCTTCCATGAGTAAGGCTGGGGGCTAAGTTGGTGCAGCTGGGTAGGAGGTGACTGCTTGTTCTTCATCTGCAGGTGGTAGCAGTAAAGAAGAAACGAGTCATAGAAGAGACACAGTAGAGATACAATATTAGTGGGCTCACCTGCCTCATAGGGTCAGTGACCATGGGCTTCATTTGGGTCATCCTGCCAGAAGAGCAGCTTAACTGGGAACTAAAAATGTGGATCGAGGGGGAGAGTATAGAAGAAGGCCTATGCTAAGAGAGACCAGACCTGGAACCATACAAACTAGGTCTGCCTCTGACATAGGACACTATTAGAAGATGCATAAGCCATCTGAAGATTCACTAAGAAATTAAAGTGAGACAAAAGTAGAAAGAAGACACACACACACACAGAAATAGTCCCACCTTCTTTCAAACATGGGCAGAATGTGGGTGCACCTGCCATTCCCGCACAGCTGATTCGCCAAGCCCGCTATGCTCTCTCAACCACAGAGCCCATTCTTGTCCCTCCCCCCCCCCCCCCCCCCGGCTGGTCCCTGACTCATGGTCTTCTTGTCCCCAGTTCTATGAGATAGTAAAGAGGAACTAAGTGATGAGAACTTAGAAATGAGTTAGCTTTGTGTGTTCATTCTTAAATCCTAAATGTCAATTCATACACATAAATCTACAGTTGATCTGCTTCCTTTATAAAACATAACGTGCTTGTCAAGTAACCCTGGAAGAGGCCCTTTAGCATTCCAGGTGAGAGCATGAGCTTTGTAGCCAGAGAAACCTGACTTCACAGCTCATACCAACTCTGAAATCCTAGACAAGACACAATCCTTCCTAGCCATGCGTGGTGATACATGACTATAATCCCAGCTTCTTGAGAGGCAGGAGGATCTTGAGTTTGAGGCCAGCCTCAGGTAAAGTTAGCCAGGCCCTATCTCAAAAAACAAAATATAAAATAAAAGGGTTGAGGGCATGGTTCAAGTGGTAGAGCACTTGCTTAGTATATGTGAGGTCTTATATTCAGTTTCTAGTAGAGAAGAAAAAAACAACCCTCTCAATTTCATTTTGTTGCCTGTTTAATGTAGATAATCGTTCCTATCTTCCTAAACACAGCTCCTCCCATATTGAATGTCAGAAAATGTTAGGTGGACATGATGTTAATGTGATTACATATTTCCCCTTACTATAAATGCTTTCTTCATTTTTTTGCAAGTACTGGCGTTTTAACTCAGGGCTTTGTACTTGCTAGGTAGGTGCTCTAGCCCTTGAGCTATGCCTTCAACCCTTTTTGCTCTGCTATATTTTAGATAGCATCTTGATTTTTTTACCCTATTTACACTTCCCACCCTAGTTGGATAACAGGTACATCCCACCATGCTCAGCTTTTTTATGTTGCTATGAAGGTCTATAAACATTTGTTTAGCCTGGCCTGGAACTGTGGTCCTCCTATTTCTGCCACCTGAGCAGCTAGGATTATAGTCACTAGCAAGTGGCCATTCTACTACCTTTTTTTTTCCTTCATTTTTGGCTGTACTGGAGATTAAACTCAGTGTTTTGTGCTTTCTGGGAAGGTATGATATTACTAAAACCACATGACCAGTCCTTCTTTGTGTTGGTTATTTTCAAGGTCTGGTCTTACCTTATGCCTGGGCCCTGATCCTCCTGCTAGTGCTTTCCTGCATCACTGAGACAGATGCCACACTCAGTTCTTGTGCTTCTCCTGTAGCTGGGATAACAGGTGGACGCCACGCACAGCTCTTGGTTAAGATGGAGTCTCTCAAACATTGAGGCCCAGACTGGTCTTAATGTTGATCTTCCAACTCCTGCCTCCACCGTAGCTAGGATTACAGGCTTATGCCCAGTTATCTCTCAGGACCACGGCTGCTGATTGTAGGATTCTCATAGATTGTAGGATCCTCGTGCCGATGCTCAAATCCTTTCTATATGATGGTATACTATTTCCCTATCCTTATGTACAATCTCCTAATATTATATGCCATAATTTATCTCAAGATTACTTATGAGACCCATAATACAATGGAAATGACATGTAAGTAACTGTCATACTGTATTATTCACTAAAGAATGGCAAGAAAAAAGTCTGTGTCCAGTGGAGTCACAACTGTCTTTAGTATGTGTAATCTAAGGTTGCTTGTATGTATAGTGTGTAGCTGAGAGAGATAGACAACCTTATCTCAGGACAGTTACTGCTACTCTGCTTACTGTGGGCAGTGCTTTTATGTAAAATAGAACTTTCCAGTACCACTCATTCATTAGCTACTGACAAAAAGGAACTTTGTGCAAAAGGATTGCAGTGCAAGCCATTTGTATCATGAAATCTGTCAGAACCTTCTGGTAACTCTGTTACTAATAAAAATTCCTTTAGAAATAAGGAAATGATTTAAAGCAAGGTTACCTATCTATAAATAATTTAGGGTGTCCTGACACAATATATAGGATGGTTTTACTATTATGTCCTAATCCAAGTTTTCACTTTGTGTGAGAGATGAGATATGGTTATCATTTTTGTTTTCTATATCTTGCAAAGAGAAAACAGGAATTTGAAACAAATTATAACTTTAACCTCAAAATGCAAGTTACTAATTTCTTTCAAAACTGAAACTGAGATGACTAAGTTGGCTTTTCTGTTTCCTTCCCCTCCCCCCACCAACTAGCAATATTACGCATGGAAAGTCTAAAGAAGTGAATATCAATCTATACCCTCCAGAAAGCGACCATGCCCAGCCCCAAAGTCTGCTATCAAGTAAAGAAAACAGCAGGTACCTGTGCTTGTGGTGAAGTCAAAATGTAACAATTCAAATATTGCCCATGGAAGTAGAATTGGAATAGTATACTGTACTAGATAGGTCATGATACCAAACAACTTAGAAACTACCTCATTCACTGGAAACACCTCTGTTTACTCATTCATTCATTCACTCATTCATTTTCCTGGAATATTGCCTTTTCCAATGATTTTGCATAATGACTGTCGGTACTGTGACCAGGCACTATGTGGTTTTTCTTCTTCAGAGTGAAAACTGTGACCTCTGTGGTGTGTGTGTCTGTGTGTCTGTGTCTGTGTCTATGTGCCTGCCCATACCAAGGTTTGAACTGGTAGTCTTACACTCTTGCTTCGTATTTTTAATCAAGGCTAGCATTCTACCCCTTGAGCCATACTTCCACTTCCAGCTCTTTAGTAGTTAACTTACACACAAGACTATCATGTAGTTGTTCGCTCAGGGTTGGCTTTGAACTGCAATCCTCAGATCTCAGCCTTTCCTGGAGCTAAGATTATAGGTGTGAGCCACTGGCGCCCAGCTGCTGTGAACCTTTCAGAAGTAGCATTTAGGAGTGTATCCTCAAGTCCGGCAGTTTCCATTAATGTATAGAATCTCTTTCAAATCCTCTGGACCCTCACTTTCCCTTTTCCCCGATTCTTTGCTTTCACTGTCCCACTCGCCTCCTGTAACTAACTTCTCTCTCCTGAGACCATCCCTAACTCTTCATTCTTCTCCCTCTCCCCATCTCTTCCTTCCCTCTTTCTTTCTATCATTATATGCTCTCCCTTTTTGCTCAAATCTTTACTGCCTATTCACCTTACCCCATTTTCAACTCTCAGGTTACTTGCAAATTCAAACTTCCACTTGCCTGTATCACGCAGAGAAATGCATTTGCTCCTTGCTTTCTCCAGCTGTTCCTAGGTACTGTAATAATTTTTTAACCACAAATCCTCAGGGCACTGTCAGAAAGAATTGCACCAGTACCCTAGAAAAGAATTTAGGCTCTGTCATCCAGAATGAAGTAGCAAAAAAAAAAAAAAAATCACGTTCATTAAAAAAAAAATCACGTTCATTAAAAAAAAAAATTTCCTTTCTCTCAGTACTTCCTCTTTCTGACCCTGGTCTGCATTCATCTAAGCCTGGTCTTCTCTAGCTACACCCATCAAGAATCCTAAATTTAACAAGGGAGCCCCAGGGAAAGGTAAGGGCACAAGGTAGGCATTTCATAATTAACCAAGATAGAGAAACTCTATTTGTTTTCCTAAACAAATAAAACACCAGGCTGTGTCTTCATTTCTCCTATGACAGAAGCGAATTGGTAATACCCTGTGTGTTCTCTGGCTTCCTAGTGACTTTCCTTCTGTCTTACATCTTATTTTTCCTTATTATTTATGATGGCAAATGAAATATGCATTGTTTTTTTAAAAAAAAAATACCTCAGAGTTGATATTTTATTTTTCTGAATTTTTAGTGGTCTTCCACTCGGATACTTTCCAAATGGTTGTCTGCCTGTGCCTTGGGGTGCATGGCTAGGTAACCAAAAGGTTATAAAAGTCTTGAGACATCATATAATCTTAGAAAAATGCCTTTTCATACTGTTTTACTCAGATAAAGACAAAACTAGCACAGATAACACATGTAAGTGAGTGAACATCTTATAGTGCAAGAGGTTTAGAGATGAGGAGAGAGAGTAGAGAATCTCTACAGGTGTCTAACTTACGCCTCCAAGGTCCAGAGGTGATGCTTTCATTTCCCTCTATCATGCTAGAATGGAAAGTTGTGAAAAATTGATTTGAGTCCAGTTGTGCTGAGACTGAGCACTGAATCACTTTTACAGAAGTTTTTTTTAGAAAACAGTCTTGCCACATTACCTGCCTAAAACACGTTCCCACCTTTCTTCTTACCTAAGTTCTACAAACTTAGCTTGGAGTTCTCTTGACCAAAACGCTCTTCCCAACAACTCTAGTCCAAAATGATGTCCATCTTTGAAGCAGCATTTTCTGTATTATCTTTAAGTAGTTGTGCAAAGAAGTTTCCATTCAACAAAGCAGATTGTGAATACAGTACATCTTGATCAGCATCGCCCCTTTCAACATTTTCCCTGATCATTTTTAAAACAAGCTGTTTCCCTTTAAAAGTACTATATTTTCATTATTAGAGAGAGAGAGAGAGAGAAATAGGACAGATAGACAACATTGATGGATAGACAGATGAGAAAGATAGTATAGTCTGCAGTAAATCCTACCTGGTAATAGTATTTTTGAACTTTGTTTTGCACATTTTACATGTGAAGAGCTGTACCTCAACTTTATATTCATGGTACAGTATTTAATCCTGCCTTTTCTTACCAGTGACCATCATTTCTGGGCACTGGTGGCTCATGCCTGTAATCCTAGCTATTCAGGATGCTGAAATCTGAGGTTGGCAGTTCAAAGCCACATCAGGCAGGAAAGTCCATGAGATTCTTATGTCTAATTAACCCCTATAAAGGCAGAAGTGGAGCTGTGACTGAAGTGATAGAGCACCAGCCTGGCATGAAGAAAGCTCAGGGACAACACCCAGGCCTTGAGTTTAAGGCCAGTACTGTCATACACACACACAAAATTTCTTTAAAGAGCAAAGATTTGTTTTACCTCATAGTTTCAGAGACGTTAGTCCATGATTGGCTGTGCCCGTTGCTGTGGTGAGTGGGCCAGGGACAGGGCTTATCTTGGCAGGCACACCTGCAGCGATCACAACCTCCACCTAGGTCCTACCTCCTTCGTTTTCCACTCTTTCCCTATAATGCCATCATATTAATCCACCCAGGGATTAATCCACCAGTGACCGCAGAGCCCTTACGATACAATCACCTCTCAGTAACTGGGTCCAGCAGCTGGGGTCCAGGCCTTCACACTCATGAGCTCTCAGGGGAGACACTTCGCTTTCAAACCATAAAGGAAATCCTGAATCACTTCATAGTTCCTTTAGAGGATTAAACTCTGGACCAGCGTTCCACAGGAGCCAGGTTAATCGTGTGTGGCAAGGGGTGAGTTAGAGACTGTTCTATCCATGAGACTTGTGCACCCAAACCAGGTGCGGGGAGAGAGTGGATGACACAGGGAAAGAGGCAGATGCTAAGGACACAACTGTGGGTTGAAGGTCACGAAATGTTTGGAGGGGAGTTAGGTAACCGGTGATGCTGGGCAGGGGATGATGGTGAGGAATCAGGTGACAGAAATAATGGAGTCTGTGACTATTGGGCCTCATCAGGGGCTCGGTCCCTTGGGGGAAGGACAGCCTTCCTGAACAGAGGAGAAGCTTTCGCACAGCAAGAAAAGCATTTCTCTTGTACTCAGTCTACCACATGAGCTCCCTCTTAACTGTAGGAAGAGTAGGAGGAGATGCTTTCTGAAGATGATCCTCTTCCAACAGCCACTACCCACTGCCCTTCTGAAAAGACTCGAGGAAATACTTCCTGCATTGTGACTGACCTGTATGTTTCCTTGAAGGAGGTTCTGTTCACTTATTTGCTCACATTTTCTTGGCTAGGTCAAATAACTCATTAATCTCTCTCATATCTACTCAGTCTCAATTTACATCCAGCTTCTTGCGACCTACCTAGTTAGTAACCACATCCAACGGCTATAAACACATCTGATGAATTTGTATTTTCTACCTGACATCAGCCTCAAAATCATTAGCATTTAAGCATATAGAGTCTTGGTAGTTTCTGTTATCCATCATGCTGTCATCTAAAGAAACATATCCTGTTATTTCAGCGGCCTTCCTTGACAACATATAAAGCCGGAGCATACCTCAATTACATGTTGACTAGACAGGAGCCAATTCATTGCAACAGAAGAAGATCTGGATTCATGAAGATCTGAAGCTTCCCAGGCCTCCCTTCTCAGTCTGCCCTTCGGTCACTCCCTCAGGCTCTTCATCCTCTTGTTGGAGGATCAGATCCTTATTAAGCTCGAGAAAAATAGTTCAGGGACTTAAAGAAGTGTGTTGTCTAAGAGTAGTGGTTTATAAGTCAATCATTTCCCTTATTTCAAAATGTTCATAACATACACTGGAAAAGGAACACCTGGAACATGCACTGAGATATGAAAATAAGATGTACAGAATTCTATTATGCAGCGATAAGCAGTAATTACTTAATTTCCTTTTTGCCAGTAACTTCTCACATTTTTGTCTTTATACACACACACACACACACTTTTCTTGCTCCAATAGTTGCTTTATTTTATAGAGCAGAACCCACTCGTTCAAATAAGTTTGTAGAAAAAACATTTTATATCCATTTCTACTTTATGGATGAGGATTTTTGTTTATTATAGAGATATTAAACGATTGTGGGGAGAATGATAAAGACTAAAATGTCAATCACTGGATATTTTCTGTTTTACAAATATTTTTACAAATATTACTATGTTTTATACTTTAAAAAACATGAAAAGTAAAATAAAAGAATAATTGTTACTGTTTAAAAAAAAAACACCTAGATAACTTTGGTATAGCTTCAGAATACATTAGATCAACTAAAACAGCACCGCTTTTAAGAATGTATCAGTTGCTGGGAACCAGTGGCTCACTCCTGTAATCCTAGCTACTCAGAGGCTGAGGTCTGAGGATCTCGGTTCAAAGCCAGCCCAGGCAGAAAAGTCCAGGAGACTTATCTCCAATAAACCACTAAAAACCAGAAGTGGTGCTGTGGCTCAAGTGGTAGAGCACTTGCCTCGAGCTGAAGAGTGCAGGGACAGCGCCCAAGCAGAGTTCAAGTTGCCCCACAACCAAAAAAAAAAAAAAAGAATTTATCAGTTCGCAGGAATTAAGTTACATCCAGATTGTCAAGATAACTGTAGATAAAAATAATGATGCATTGCATATTAAACAAAAAAAGTTTTAAGAAAAGATTTAGAATGTTTTTACCACACAAAGAAATAATAAATATTTGAGAGAAGAGATTTGAATGTTACACATCTATATACAATGTTTATCTACATAAACATCATATAGTGTTTTGTACATTTTATTTCATATCAATTTCAAAAAGGTATACTAAATCATATATTGACACTTAAAATGAGTGGCTATATAGTCTTAAGCTATTCAAATATTTAGAGTCAAACACTGATAATGCACACAAATGAAGGGAGAAAGTACACAAATACAGTTATATTCAATATACATTGTATAAAAATAGATCTCAGTAACTTGCAGTTAGAGATGGGATGAGGAGAAGGATGGAAAGGCAAAATTGGTTAAGTTGTATTGTACTCACAACTTGACGTGTGAAACTGAAACTCCTTTGTACCACTCCTTAACAAAAAATAATAATGAAAACATTATGGTATTCTGGGACATACTAATGATCTCTAGAAAATCTGACGCTTTTGCGATATTAATATTCTTAATATTTTATCCATACGATTGATTAGCTGTACAGCAGGGTTTCATTTTGACATTCAGCTATACATACAGTGAACCTTGTTCAGACCCACCCATTCCATCGCTCATTCCTCTGTCCTCCCCCTCCCTAAATAAAAGTTAGCTTTATACACAACTACTGCTCATTTCTGTGGAATTGATTTTTTTGGTGGGGGTAGGTTTTTTGTTTTGTTTGTTTGTTTTTTTACCTATCCTAGGACTTGAACTCTGCCTGGGCACTGTCCTGAGTTTTTTGTTTTTTGGGTTTTTTTGCTTAAGGCCAAGTGCTCGGCCACTTAAACCACAACTCTACTAACAGATTTTTGGTGGTTAACTGGAGATAAGATTTTCCTGCCTGGGCTGACTCTGAACTGGGATCCTCAGATCTCAAGCTCTTGGCAGTTGTATTTTAATAGCTTTTTTTTTACTGGTCTATTCTTCCACATTTACTTTGACACCAAGAAAGAAGTAAGCTAGGCATTGGTTTAAATTTCAATTTAAAGTTATGCAAAACAGGAAAAAAAAGTATAAGTCCAGTGACATAAAGAAAAACAACAACAACTTGAATCCCAAAGTGAGTCTTATTATTCAGAGTTTTCTAGATAATGCTGTCGTATCATCTAGAAAGAAGCCTAAGAAGCCTGGTGATGTGATATGACACTCAGGGACAAGAGTTTTGTTCAACTGGATATTTAGCAAATAATATGTCATGGGAATTTTTAAGTTGACTTTTTTTTTGGGGGGGGGGGGGGTCGGTTGTGGGCCTGAATTTGGGGCCTAGGCGCTGTCCCTCAGCTCTTCAGCTCAAGGTGAGCACTCTATCACTGAGCTACCTTCCCAGCCCTTAAGTTGACTTTTAAAGAACTAAAAATTAAATGCTCAAGAACTGGCTTTTTCACACAAAACAAACACCTCTGTATTCTTTTCCATAATGTAGAGGGGCAATTGAGTGAGCAATTGATAGATACTACTGAGACCTGTGACTTTAATTACTATGAAACCATGATAGTTTTTCTTTCTATTAATGACCATGGAAAATACTATATATACTATGAATAAAATCCTATACTTCCCAACTTAAAATGTATTATTAAACAATTCTATTAACCTCTAGTTACAATTTTTACAACTGAAAGGCAGAAGCTGGAATTCTAACTGCAGTTATTGCTAGAACTTCTTAGTTATTTCTAGTGCCCTGTCCCTTAGCTTTTTCACTCAAGGCTGGCACTCTGCCACTTGAGACATAGCTCTTCTTCCAGCTTTTTGGTGGTTTTGGGGGTCGGGGATTTCTTGCCCACGCTCACTTCAAACTGTGATCATCAGCCTCTTGAGTAGGATTACAGCCTTGAGCCACCAACGCAGGACAGTTTTGCTTCATTTCCCAACATTTGATTTCTCCTGAAAAGAATCCACCCTCCCAACTTCACCCAACAAATTCATACCCCCTCCCAGATCCTGCCACCCGTTTGTCTATCTTTCATACATGTGTGTTCATCTTCAGTAACATCAAGTAGTTCAAGAGCAAGGGTTCCATAGAGTCCCAGTATGTAATGTTTGGTGATGCTTAATCGTTTCTCTCCCTGAGGGTGTCTCAAGGGAGGAGGAAGAGGAGGAACACATGACCTTAGGGGTTGGGGTGCAGTGGTGAAACCTGAGATTCTGACAGCTGTGGGGGGGAGAGAACGCCAGGAGGGGGCCCAGCAGCAGACACTGGGGCAAGAAAAATGTCAGGCAAAGTACTAACCTTTCCTAATGCCTAATTCCAAGGCCCAGATAATCCAGCAGAGCCGCCTGGAGGGCTCCCAAGGGGTCCCGAGTCTAAGATGACCCGCTGCTGAAACTCAGGGCTTATCTATTTTTAGCTCGCCCTGTTTTATTTTCCAAGCCAGAGTTCCAGGAAATGATGACAAAGACCAGCTGTTTACAATCCACCCTTCCCGGGGCCTGAACGGCAGCCCTGCTTGTCAATGCCCGCAAGCCACTGCGGAGCCTAGGAGGCTGTAGAGGGAGCGTCGCCACAGCTCTTGCAGGCCTGGGGTGTGTGGGAGGTGGGATGGGGGGTGACCCGCCAGCGGAACCCCCGCAGCCCCTGTCTGGGCCAGGCGCTGCCCTTCCCCCGCCCGCCGGGTGCTGCGCCGAGGCCCCGCCTTGCTCCCCTCTGATTGGCTCAGCCTGCAGTCCCTTCTGTCCCGGGGCGCGGGCGCCGGCCACGCCCACCTGTGCAGCCCAGCACACTTTGTGAGTTTGGAGGATTGTTGCGTGTGCCCACGGGGGCTCAAAAGTGGCTCCCCTACCCGGCGGGCGCTCAGTTATCCCCGTCCATCTCCGGAGAGATGACGGGGTCCGCGGTGCGGGGCACGGGGCCTGCCAGCTGCGGCGCCACCCCGGGGGCTCTCCGGCGGCGCGTCCTCGGAAGGGTCTGGGTGGCGGTGGCCCTCCTGCTGTCCCTGCTCTCGGGTGGAGGCCTCTGCGAGCAGCCAGGTTCGGCGGCGGGGCGGGGCCCTTCCTTCCCCGGGGTGGAGGGACACACGCCGCCCGGGCCGGGGCTCGCCTGCGGGGTGGTGCGGAGCGCGGTTCCCAGCGCGCGCGCGTCGGGGAGCGCGATGGGGCGCAGGGGAGGGGCGGGCCGGGGAGCGGGTGGGTGGGGAGGGCGCTCACCCCAGCTGCGGCCCCACTGACAGCTTGTGGGTGTTTCCCCGGATTGTGCCCCCAACCGGATGGGGTGCCCGCCCCTCAGCCCCAGGCGGGCGAGCGCTGCTTGGAGCGCTTTGGTGCGCGGAGGTACTGCGGGGGGCGTGGGGGGGGGCGTAGAGAGTGTTTCCCCTTGGGTTCCCTGGGCAGAAGGGCGGGGTGCCTTGGGGGAGGAGAGGGGTACACATGGAAATGGTCACCATGGATGCCTCCAGGGCTTGGAGCTTCTCAGATCGTGTTATAGACTGTCCTGAGTTTGGGTGGGGTGCCTGGATCAAAGGAGGGGGGAGGGAGACACCTGCTGGGTGGGCAGGAGTTCGGAAGGACAGGTTTGCCTGGCTTGTGCTAGGGTTATCTATCCCTAAGTAGGCTCTGCGCCTGGATTTAGTGGAATGGGAAGGGGCCACTTTGTAAGCCTTAAAACAAACAAACAAACAACTTAGTGGGATCTACTTGTTTCGTGAGATAGAATCGATCTTGGTTAACAAGTATCTATTTGCTTGATTGCTTTCTTTGTTGTTGGAGTTTTGTTTTGTTTCCATCCAGAGAGTTATCGTCCCTTTTCAGACCAGTCCACACAATAGGTAGAGTCATAGTTGAAAGGAGCAACCTAAAAGCCCCAGTAGTGAGAAATTAGTATCCTAAGAAACCATAAATATCAATATGGCATAGACCCATCCCACTAAATTGATGTTGTAATTCACTGAATGGGACTTATAGTGTGTGTGTGTGTGTGTGTGTGTGTGTGTGTGTGTGTGTGTGTGTGTGTGTGTGTGTGCTAGTCCTGGAACTTGAACTCAATGCCTGGACACTGTCCCTTAGCTTTTTTGCCCAATGCTGGCACTCTACCACTTAAGCCACAGCTTCACATCCAGCTTTTTATTGGTGAATTGGAGATAAGAGTCTCACAGACTTTTCTGCCTGGGTTGGCTTCCAACCACAAACCTCCTATCTCACAGCCTCCTGAGTAACTAGGATAATAGGAGTGAGCCACCAGAACCTATCAGGCACAAAGACTACATATACTGTACACTGCTATAAAACCTACCACACCAAAGAAAATCATTTTTATATCTCATTCTTGTTTTCTCATGTGTTTTGTTTCTATGTCCAGGTTATATCTAGGACACTGTTACATACCTGGTATATGGCTGCCCCTACCCCCCAACCCTTAGAACATACATCTTCTGACTCTATGTTCTCATTGGTTCTGTCTAATCTACCAACTCTGACTTTCTCTGACCATCCTGTGTCTAGGAGACACATTCACTCTTCTAAAACTATCTTTTCTCTTCTTCACCATGAGCACACAGAGGTCTACCTGTCAGATACAACACAGACAGGGACACTGACATACTTGCGGTCCTAAATATCCAGAGTGTGCTTTGTTTTTGTGTTTTGTTTGGTTTTGAGCCAGTACTGAACAAGTACAAGGCTTGAACTCAAGGCCTCACATTCTTGCTTGGCTTTTTTTGCTCAAAGCTGGCACTCTACCACTTGAGTCATAACTCTTCTTAAGGCTTTTTTAAAGAGTTTCAGACTTTCTTGCCCAGGCTGACTATGAACTAGGATGTCAGAGTGTTACGTTGTTGTTGTTTATAATCTCAATATCAGTACTCTCATGTAACTTTTTAGCAGAAAGTTAAATATCCTATCTGGCCAGGGCTTAGAGAAGGAGAAGACAGTCCTCTTGTGTCCAGGCAGAAAGCTCTTTGAAGAGCCATGGTTAGAATAGTCTTTCTCTGGTGCTGAGGCAGGGAGAGTTGACTGAGCCAGCTCTCCAGGGAGGGCTGCTAGTACTCTGGTCTGGTTTCTTCCTGATTCCTCAAGGATGCATTTGACATGGAGTGGAGGAGGGAGAGGACGGCAATTGTGATAAGACAAACAAAAGGCATTTAGAAAAATGTTTAGGGTAGATGTCAAAATATAAGCTTAAGACGATGAGCAAACACTATGAAAGGTCTTTGATGTGGAGGGAAATAAAGAGGAATGGAGTGCTACAATGTGGATGGTAATAAATGAAACATGAAGAGGAAAAACAAGGCTAAATTGAAACGTAAAAATCAGCATAGTTTTGAAACCTAGGAAAAGCCAAATGAAAATGTGCTATATTAGGCAATAGGTAGGTAAAATATTTCATTTTTGGAGCAACTCAACTCTTGTGAATATTTCTTCCTTTCAGCTGCGTGATAATGCATATATGAGAATTTTTTTAATTGTGTAACGTTAACTCAGGATTTTATACTCGCCAGTGCTTGAGCCTTTTTTGCTTGGGTTGTTTTTGAGATAGTGTCTCACTTTTTGCTGACAGTCAGCCTGGGCTAAGATCCTCTTATCTACTCTTGCTACCACAGCTGGCATAATAGGTGTGTGAAACCACACCCCGCTATTCTATAGAGATGGAGGTACCACCAACTTTTTACCTAGGTTGGCCTTAAACCACAGTCTTCCCAATCTCAGGCTCTCTTATAGCTGGGATTGCAGGTATGCACCACTGTGCCTGGCTTAAAATTTTTGTTTCTGCATTATTTTAATTTTTTTAAAATATTATTTTTTAACCACACTTATTAAAAACTTAGTGTTAATACATCCACAAATAAGGCAGACTTCCTTGTATGTAGATTTGTCACCTGTCACTAGAGACTCAGGACAGACAGGGAGACTTAGAAGGCAGCTGGTTGTCACTGGCAACAAAGTCATTGAAAAGGAACCTGTAGAATGAAGAGGTCCTTGAACAGATCTACTAGGGACATCTCAGATCTGCTCAGAGAACCAGATGACAAGCAGATGACCAAGGTGGTGCAGATCTGCTCAGAGAACCAGATGACAAGCAGATGACCAAGGTGGTGTGTAACAGGAAGACAAGGACATGGAGAGGGAGCTACAGTCGATAGGCATCAGAACACCTCTGGGTGTCCTATAGAGGAAAAGGAACCTCCAGAGAAGGAGACTGGTATTCTGAATTTAACAGAAGGAGGCTATTGAATAGCTTCCAGAGCAGTGAGTAGGAATGAGGAATAAAACTGTCAGGGTTGGCTTTGAATGGTGATCCTCAGATCTCAGCATCCTAAGAAGATAGGATTATAGGCACGAGCCACCTTCACCCAGCCTGTAATGCATATTTTCTCAGACCCAAAATGTTGATAGTTTCTTATTGAACAGCAGTTCAGTTTATTCTGAAATAAAACAAGAAGTGATTTTTACATGACGGTATATTTATACTATAATCCAGAAGTTTTTTTTATTTGTTTTTGCTAATATTACCACTTGCGTGAAAATAGAGCGCAATCATTTACAATCTTGTCAAAGGCCTTCATTCTTTTCTTTTTTTGTGGTCTAACTTACCTGCTGCCTAATAGTCCCTGATTGGTGAAAATAGTAGGCATATCCTTTATGTTTTTGTCCCCTTGTCCCTAGATACCTGTGAACCACCACCACCTTTTGAAGCGATGGAGCCTGTTCATAAACTTAAACCTTTTTACAGCGTTGGGGAACAAGTGCTATACAAGTGTAAAAGAGGGTACTCGATTGTGCTTCTGTTATCCATGACTACCACCTGTGACAAGAATCTGACATGGACACCGGTTAGAGATATTGTTTGTGGTAGTAAGTAAACACAACATATTACTGTTACTTCCTTTTGCTTGTTCTAGGATGCTTTCACTCAGAATCTCAGGCTATATATGCCACGAGAGCAATCATGATTTTCTCACATTAAGCGAGATTTGAGATTCCTGTGGGTTTTGTTTTGTTGCATATTTTTGTGGAGTTCTGTTTTGTTTTGTTTTTAATCAGGCTTTGAGAAACTTCTAGGGATTTTTTTTTTGGCCATTGCTTGCCTGAGTGATTGTACATCTTACATTTGTCCTCATAAATACAAAGAAAACAATACATCATAAAATGTAATAAAATGCAATATAGATTTTTTTTTTTGCTTTAAATGTATGTGTTTAAAATTCCACCATTTTGCTTTCTGTTAGGAGATCTTTGTAACACTCTCCAAAATCCTGCATTTGGCTGGGTATACTATCCCACTGGGTCTTGGGCATGGGGTAATAAGGCGCACTTTGCTTGCCAGGAGGGGTAAGTTGTTCCTTTGGAAAAATAAGGTAACTATCTTGCTGTTTCTCTGTGTTTCCCTTAAACATTCATGTAAAACTTGTTTGTTTTTTTCTTCTGTGACAAGTTGTACTTCTAGCTAAACAACCTTTGCTGCTTTTTGGAGACAGGATGAAAGTATAACTAAAGAAGTTACACTTTCCTTTCATTTTTTTTAAGACCTAAGTTAAAAGAGTACTTGCTATATCAAGTAACAAGCCAACTTGCTATACCCAACTGCACCACTACTAATTGTAACTCTGAATAAAAATAGGTAAGGGTTTCACAGCTACTCCAGCAAAACCTAAAGCATTAAGAATGCTAAGTGCATTCTACTACCAATAGAATTGAAGTTGTGCTCACAGGTCCACATTTATGAGCAACAGCAATACTGTAATTCCTGAACACTGTTTATTCACGTAGACTAAAAGCTCCTTATTTGATTAAAAATCACAGTTTAATAACACACTTCCAGTATGTGCTGCTTAAGAAGCCTCTCCCTCAAACCACTGCCTCTAAAAATTGCCTGCCTTATTATGTGCAGCCGGTTCATTGCTGAAAAAAATAGTAACCTTTTCTTGGCTCATTTAGATATTACTTAATTGGTCAAGAAATTCTACACTGTGTGCTTAATAAAGATGCTGAGGCCGTTTGGACCGGAACTCCCCCACAATGTGAAAGTAAGTCTTGTGTATGTGTGTGTGTGTGTGTGTGTGTGTGTGTACATGTGCACATGTGCTAGAATTTTAAAGTAATTACTAACTCATTTTTAAGGATAATGAATTCAAATGGATGTAACATACATTTAACTAGTTAGTTAGTTAGTTAGTTAGTTATTATGCCAGTATTTGGGCTTCAACTCAGAGCCTCGCAATCTCACTTAGCTTTTTTGCTCAGGGCTGCCACGCTACCACTTGAGCCACCTCTCCACTTTCATTTCTTGCTGGTTAATTGGAGATTATGGTCTCACAGACCTATCCATGCTGACGCTGAACCGGGATTTTAAGATTTCAGTTTCCGGTCTGGGAAGGTGGCTCAGTGGTAGAGCGCTTGCCTTGCATGCATGAGGCCCTGGGTTTGATTCCTCAGCACCACATAAGCAGAAAAAAAAAAGCCAGAAGTGGCGCTGTGGCTCAAGTGGTAGAGTGCTAGCCTTGAGCTGAAGAGCTGAGGGACAGCGCCCAGGCTCAGAGTTCAGGCCCACAACCTGACCCCCCCCCCAAAAAAAAAATCTCAGTTTCCCAAGTAGCTAGGATTAGAGGCATAAGCTGCTAGCACTCAGCCTATCTGTATCCTATTTTGAAGGAAAAGTTTTTGTTTAAGATGAGTTTTTAATGAAAAGACATCTGCAGTTGGTCTACTGTATTATCAGGGTTTATAGCCTCTACCAAAAATTTCAGTATTGTGAAGATGGTGGCAATAAAAGATATCTGTTAGTATGATTATGAAATACCCATTTAGAGAAGGTAGAAATTATAAAAAAGTATTTTGCACTTAGCACTCAGTTTTCTTTTTAGTTGCAAAAATTAATTTCTCTTCAATTTTCCACTTCTCTTATGATGACGAGGGTAAGGCAGAGCATGGCCTTGCAAATAAATATAGACATTTTATTCCTTAAGAAAATAAACTGTTGTTTTCTGAACATTCATTTCTACATGAATGGTTTGGATCTGGGATATCAGAAACCCCCTAATAAATACTGAGTTCACAACTAGCTTATAGAAAATCTATAATGATGAACTTCCTTATAGCAGTTTAGAACTTTGCTAACGTTATCTTTCATTTCTTACCTTGCTTTTTTCATGCCTTTCCTGTCTCTGCCCCCCCAACTTTTTTTTAAAGAGATCCTTTGTACACCACCTCCAAAAATTAAAAATGGAACACACACTTTTACTGATATAGAGGTATTTAACTTCCGCGAAGCTGTCACTTACAGCTGCGATCAGATCCCCGGACCAGATCAGCTTTCACTTGTTGGCCAGAAAATTCTGTATTGTGCAGGCAATGGAGTTTGGAGCAGTGATCCTCCTGAGTGCAAAGGTAACAGAGACTTTTCCCTTCTCTACCTGTGCTTCCTGTGGAAGCATTCTGTAGAGTTTTACCTACACATAAACAAAATGGGCATTTGAGCTTCCTGCTTTTGTACAACAGTTATCTGATTTAATTTCATAGTCATAATTTCATAGTCATAATTTCAAGTTCAAGCAAAACATAATTGTACCTACGTATATGTGCCTTATCCCTTACCATAATATGGTTTGGCATATCACCTTATGTGTTTAGAACTACTATGGATGTACATGAGTTAGGGTGCTTTTATTTGAAAGAACAAGCTCAAGACACACTGGCTTAAAAAATAGGATAATGGCTTGCAGAGGTTTTGCAACAGTTAATGGTAGAGCAGATTGTACTGACCCTCTTACTTGACAAGAATAAGAAGCCCTGGACAAAATTTTTTTAAAAGTCTTTAGATTTTGAAGGTTGACTAATGACGAACAGCATGGAGACACTTTCAATCTGCCCCTTGAAAAAGAGCCACCATTGCATCCTACCAAAATAAACAAATAAATACTACTTTCAGAGACATATGGAAGCTCTCTAAGGTAGGAGAGTGTCTAGGCAAGAAGGTAATTTTTAATAAATATCAAAAAATCAAGCCAGGCACCAGTGGCTCATACCTATAATCCTAGATACTCAGGAGGCTTGAGATCTAAGGATTGGGGTTTGAAGCTAGGCCAGGCAGGAAAGTCCATATGACTTTTATCTCCAATTAACCACCAGAAAACTGGAAATGGTACTGTTGGCTGAAAGTGGCAGAGAACACTAGCCTTGAGCAAGAAGAGCTGTCAAAAAAAACAAAACTGAAATCTTACACTCTCAGGAAGTAAAGTAGAGTAACACAAACACCAAAGGAATGCCCAAATAATTGAAAATTACGCAAGATGCTTCTGCTTTTTACCTGATGCTTTCATTCATTTGCTAGTGCTTTACCAACTGAGTCATGCCTCCAACTTCACAAGATGCTTCTAAATCACCATTGATTAAAAAAAAAAAGAAATTGGAATTAGTATGTGATTAGAATTGAGTAAAGACCAAAACACAACATATGAAAATATCCAAATTTGTGGGAGCAGCTAAAGCATTGCTTAGAGAGAAATGTGTGAAATGCTTGTGTTAGGGAAAAAAAGTCAGCAATCAAATGACCTATGCGTCTACCTCAAAACATTAAAAAAGAGCAAATTAAGCCTAAAACAAGCAAATGGAAGGAAATGATAAAAAAAGAATTTACACGCAGAGAAATCAGTGAAGCAAACAGCTTAATCTTAGAGAAAATGGATAAAGTATAAGTCCATAGCCAGACTGACCAAAAATAAAGACACAAATTATCAAGAGTGAAAACAAGAGCCAGGTACCTGTTTCTCACCTATAATCCTACCTACTCAAGAGGCTGAGATCTGAGGATCACAGTTCAAAGCCAGCCTGAGCAGTAAGACTCTTACCTCCATTAATCACCTCCCCCACCCCCGCAAAAAAGTAATGAAAATGAAGATACCATTAAATAGCATTCTGACATCTAAAAGATGATGAGATTACAATACACTTTTTCTTTCTTTTTCAGTAGTACAAGGGTATTCAGGGCCTTGTACTTGCTAGTCAAATTACCACTGGCATTTGAACTCAAGCCCTACATTTACTAGATAGGTACTCTATATGCCTCTGGTACAAAACTTACCTACTTCTTGGAGGACATAAAGTATCTATTAAAGAAATACAATTTGGGGGCTGGGAAGGTGGCTCAGTGGTAATGCGCTTGCCTTGTATGCCTGAGGCCCTGGATTAGATTCCTCAGCACCACATGAGCAAAAAGAAAAAAAAAAAAGCCGGAAGTGGTGCTGTGGCTCAAGTGGTAGAGCACTAGCCTTGAGCTGAAGAGCTGAGGGACAGCGCCCAGGCCCAGAGTTCAGGCCCCATGACCGGACCCAAAAAAAAAAAAGAAAAAAATACAATTTGTAGTTAATAGCCTTCCCATATAGAGAACCATAGGCCTAGACAGTGTATAGTTTCATTAAGTAATTCTAGCAAACATTAAAGGAATCAATGATTCTACACAAGCTTTTCAAGAAAATGCAAGAAAAAGAAATTCTCCTCAAATCATTTTATAAGGACAGCATTGTCTTGATACTAAAAACTGGAGAAAAATCTTGCAAGAAAATATTTAAAAAGTTATCTTTGGTCTGTTTATTTTGTGCCAGCACTGGGGCTTGAACTCAGAGCCTTATGCCCTGGCTTGGCTTTTTTGCTCAGGGCTAGTACTCTACCACTTGAGCCACAGCTCCACTTTTGACTTTATGCTGGTTAATTGCAGGAAAGAGTCTCACAGACATTTCTGCCTGGGCTCACTTCAAACAGGATCCTCATTGGTACAGCTGAACACAGCAAATGAACTGAGACAGGCCTGTAGAAATCCAACATGATTTGAGAAGAAAACTTTAAGAAACAGTCTTACAGACCTACTTATGAGGGAGAGTCAGCTAGTCAACGGTGTATGTAATTGGAAGCATTATTTTGAGTAAATGTTAGCCAAAAGTTATCCAAATTTAATTCCAAAAAAACTGCAAACAATCACTTCAGATCTAGGAAATTCGGTGACTTTGAGGCAAAGTGAATAAATTATTAAACTTTGCCTCTATCCTCAGCGGTTCAGTAGTATTAGTTTGATAAAACTACCAACAGATTAAGAAAAAAAAAATTGCCAGTAAGAGTCCAACAACAACAAAACCAGATTACCCCAAAAAAGCTAGAAGACATTGGTGTGGATTAAGATAGTCAAAAGAGAACTTAAAAATACTTATCTGGAGTGCATCAAGGAGAAATCTAAAATGGAAGGTGGTACAGCTGGAAACTATATTCAGATAAACCAAATCTGAGGTAATCTGTCACTGGCCAATCCTTCATTGTGAGAATTTCTTGTGTACTAGTATGGGGTCTAAGCATTGGTGGTTAACTTTTATTTGGGACCTTTTATGCTTGTGTATTCATTTGGAACATAAAATGTGTCTCATCATCTCTAGGTTTCATTCAGACACAAGATTTAGAACACTCTAACTCCACTGCTCTGGAATATCCCAGTCTGTGTGTGTTATTTCTGCCCAAGAAACAACACGCCTATGTGTCATTGTGTGACTAGCTAGCTTCTTTTCAGGTTTTAAAGTTTTGAGTGTCACCTTCTCCAAGAAGTCTTCATTACCTTTTTGAAAAAGCAGCATATTGCTGCTTTTAAAGACCCCTATCGTTCATCAGTTTTCCAAAGTTGCGGTAGAACTTGACTTGAATTTGTCTTACAGTGGGACCTTTCTCAAACAAGGAATAAATTATAAGATTCTGTTCCTTAAAGGGTAAGATGGATCATTAGGTTTTTCTGAATCTCTTAGCTAGAATGAAAATGCATTTGAATATGTAAAACACATACACACACACAGTATCTTGCATTCCATTTCTTGTCTCTTCATTCCTACTGGAAATGAATACTTTGGTTTCTTTTCTTTTCAGTGGTCAAATGTCCATTTCCGGTACTTGTAAATGGAGAAATTACCTCAGGATTGGCAAAAAATTTTTCCTACCAGGCAGCCATTACAATTGAGTGCAAAGAAGGTTTTTACCGAAATGGCACTGACAAATTTGTCTGTAACGGAAACAGTGCTTGGGATCCCCCGATATCACCCTGCCTTAAAGGTACAAATGTGCTCTGTTTTTCCTTCTTGCTTAATGGTTTAGGTTTTATTTCTTGAATATCTCAATATAAACTCCATGTTATATTTATTTCTATGTTGTAAACATAAATTTTAGGTCTGCCATTATATTCTCATGGAATTCTGCTGTTACAGTTTGAGTTTTAGAATTTTTATTTGTGTTGTTTAGCTCACTGGTGTGTCTCTGAGTTTCACTTGTTCAGTATTATTATGCATAGACTATGAATGGCAGGAAGTTTTCAGAGTTGATCAAAGCATAATATTTCTAACGAAATAGACATCAATCTAATATGATTAGATTAATAATTAGATCTCTAATTAAATAGATATTCCTATCTAATTACATCCAGAATGAAAGGCATGACTTGTGTAAGCAAACTGCTTCATCTAAATACCATTGTCTTGTTTTCCAGGGTGGCCTTCTCCCAGTCCCAAACTTCCAACTTGGATTTACGGAGGTTTAATCACTTCCTGATTATATTTTCCCAAGAATATTTCAAATTTCTGGTGAAAATACCGAAAACTTCCAAGAGTTTGACCCAATATATATTGTTCACTTTTTTAACAGGGTCAGTCCCAACCCTGTACCAAACCTAACCACCACCACTGTCTCAGGTTGAGTACTTTCCTGCTCATACTTTTCAAAAATCCTTTAAATTCCTGGTGATTTCGTGTAATATCCTATATATTCCATGTAGAATCTAATTCATTCGTCATTTTTTTGGTAGTAAGAGGAAGAAGACTATGTTTACAGCCACCTTATTGGTTATCTATAGGGAAGAAGACTATGTTTACAGCCATCTTATTGGTTATCTGGAAGAAGACTATGTTTACAGCCACCTTATTGGTTATCTATAGGGAAGAAGACTATGTTTACAGCCATCTTATTGGTTATCTATAGTAATTCTGATATCTTATTTGCATAGTCCACATACTTGGCTGTGCACATTCCTTGGGAACACTGTGTAAATTTAAAATGTGTCTAACACCTATATAAAATGACTTAGTATCTTTTTTTATTAGGTTTAAGACTTGTAAGATATGTTGAAAGCACTTAGCAGGTTAGGAAGCTTATATAGGAAGCTCTCTAAAGTATATCACTACTTAATATTCATGAAGAGGAAAGATCATGATTTCTGTTTGTAAATGTGTTTTGTGTCACCAACTTTGCTCTTTTACGTGTGTGTGTGTGTGTGTGTAAGTGATCTGTTGACACCCTCGTTGGTTGCCTTTCTAGTGGAAAGCTGTGCTTCCCTGCCAGTTCTTTATATATAACTGGGAGACCTCTGCCATTGCCAAAACGTGGCTATATTTTTACTTCTTCCTCACTTCCCTTCCTCACCTAAAAAAATTATTCTTTCTTTGTCTTTTACTAGGCAGTTTTATTAGGCAGTAGAAACTAGATTTTGTATTAACTGAAGGGCACAGATAAGCCTTATCTACTGAAATAGGATGGCTTCTTCAAGGAACCAGTCATCAGCTGCTGTACTCAAGACTGCATCAAGGCCGTCTTGATGTAGAGAAAGGAACTGTTGTCTGGATTCGGGGCTGTTATTTCTTGGTTTCTTAGAAGCAAGAGATGGCAGGAATGGTGAAAAGGGTATTCACTAGGGTAGAGTAGTTTGGAAATGCCTAATTCAGCTATTGTTTCTATGGGCTTCAGTGTCCCTTTGGTTTAATAAGGATGTTTTAGCTGAAAACAAATTACAGGTCCTAATTTGGTCAAATATTTCCTATTCTCCTTATATAAATATTAGGGCTTACATTATTTATTCTTTTTTAAATGAAATTTTTTTATTGTGAAAATACTGTACAGAGGGGTTACAATTACATGGGCAAGATAATGAGTACATTTCTTATCAAGCATTTGTAGCCTCCTCCTCTGTTTCCCTTTCCCATTCCCCCCTCCCCCCCACATACATTATTTACTCTTAATACATAAAAGTAAGGTTTAAGCTTCAGGCCTTGTGCTTTCTAAGCAAGCATTCTCTCAGATGAGCCACTCTGTAGCCTATTTTTTTTTATTTACTTATTTAGCTTCAGCTCATTTTTCAGACAGAATTTTGCTCTTTGCCCTAAGCTAGCCTTGGACCAAGATCTTCCTACCTCCAATTATAGGCATGCACCCATATATCTGGCCACTGCTTAATATTTTAAAGGGTGGGCAGGAATTACAAGGGAACTTCTTTGCCTGCCTCAGCCAAGCATCGTGAGGCAGAGGGAGAGATTTTTGGAGGGCTGATGTGAGCAAAAGTAAGATGGCATTTGAAATGTATACGCATTGGTCCGTTTGTATCTGCTTATATACTCCAAGAGAGTATACCTAATGTGGTATACTAAGTTTGTCGATAGGCTCTTTTGAAAGAATTGACAATCAGTATTTCATAAAGGATTTGCAAAACAATGATTTAGCTTAGGGTTTGATAGAGACAACTAATTGTGGAGGGAAAAAAACATCCAAATTTCTGACAAAAGGTTGTCAGTAATTTTTTATCCAGTGGGAAAGAATATATATCACAAGTATGAACAACATAGATCTGTGTTAAGGTTGATCTAAGTGTGCTAATATGAAAAATGACCAAGAAATGCTAACTGGAAATAATTCAGCTGTTAATGGTGTAGTGTGTAACTGCTGGCTTTCTTACAAAGAAACATATGTTTACCCCTAACACATTATTTTTTTGGATTTATTAGTAGTTAACTTCTAGTCTTTCTAATATAAAATGTAGGGTTTTAGCGACCATTTTTTTTTTTTTTTGGGGGGGGGTCCAGTCATGGGGCCTGAACTCAGGGCCTGGGCGCTGTCCCTCAGCTCTTCAGCTCAAGGCTAGCGCTCTACCACTTGAGCCACAGCGCCACTTCCAGCTTTTTTCTTTTTGCTTATGTGGTACTGAGGAATCGAACCCAGGGCCTCATGCATGCAAGGCAAGCAGTCTACCACTGAGCCATCTTCCCAGCCCCTAGTGACCATTCTTGTGTGTGCCAGATATACTCAGAAGTAGAATCCCTATGACCAGAAAGTACAGCTATTTTTACTTGGATAAGCCATCCTTTCTGTAATCTTATATTGATAAGGGATACGAAGTGATAAGCCTTCAAATTTGTTTTTCCAGGTCCTAGACCTACTCATCCCAGGAAGCCTGCAGTGTATGAATATCCAGGTTTGGTCATTCTTTATCTTGCTGATAAAAGAACTCCATAAATGATAGATGAATAATGATAGTCTATTTTCTTCTTTTCATTTCTTTAGGTGTTTTCTTTTTGTCACAGGGCTTGAACTCAGGGCCAGGGTGCTGTCCCTGAGCTCTTTGAGCCACAGTGCCACTTCCGGTTTTCTGGTGGTTCATTGGAGATAAGAGGTCCATGAATTTTCCTGCCTGGGCTGGCTTTGAACTGCTATCCTCAGATCTCAACCTCCTGAATAGCTAGGATTACAGGCGTGAGCCACCAGAGCCGGTTTCTTTAATTTTTAATAAGATTAAATGATATTTTTAATCTACAGTTTTTAAATGCCTTTTTTTTGGAGACAATTTCACAACATTACCGGTACTATTTTCAAACTCTGGGCTACAGTCATCCTTCACTACAAGTATATACCACTGTACCCATTTATCTATGTATATTCAATTACTTACTCATATCTAACATATATATTAGAGAATCATATACTCATTATGTATATTCATATCTGTTGCCTATTTTTCTATCTACTAGGTATTTTAAAATATTTTTATTGATTTATGAGAACTTTCGTAAACTAAAGCTCTTCTAGTATAAAATGAACATTGTTTTGCATTTGTCAGTTTATTATTATATTTTATTATATTCAGTGGTAAAAAGGGGTTACCATTATGAGTACAGTGCATCTTTGATGAACTTGTCAGTTTTAAGTGTTTTATACTATTTAGGATATACTTTTTTATCTTTCCTAAGAGCAATATGCAAACATTTTTGTAAAATTTCAAATATTACAAAAATGTAGAGGAAAAAGAAAACTTTCTAGTCCATTAACTAAATTAATTACTATCAATAGCTTAAGGTTTCTATTTCTGTACATTAGAACACTTTTATTATGCATAGGTTGTACATGTAGTTTGGCTTTTTATTTTTCCTTTTTATTTTTATTTTTTTATTTTTGGTGTATATATTAGTACTGTGGCTTGAACTTAAGATCCGAGTGCTGCTCTTCAGTTTTCTCATCCAAGGCTAGCACACTACCTACATGAGCCACACCTCCACTTCCAGCTTTTTTGGTAGTTAATTGGAGATAAAAGCTTCACAGAGCTGGGCGCTGGTGGCTCACGCCTGTAATCCTAGCTACTCAGGAGGCTGAGATAGGAGGATTGCAGTTCTAAGCCAGCCTGGCAGGAAAGTCTGTAAGACTCTTATCTCCAACAAAACACTCAGAAAAACCAGAAGTGGTGATGTGGCTCAAGAGGTAGCACACTAGCCTTGAGCTGAAGAGCTGAGGGACAACACCCAGGCCCAGAGTTCAAGCCCCATGACCACCCCACCCCCACAGACTTTTCTGCCCAGGCTGACTTTGAATTGAGATCCTTCTATCTCAGCCTCCTAAGTAGCTAGGATTACAGGCATGACTCTGGCACCCAGCTGTTTTCTTTTTGTTTCCCACTTTAACAATACAATTAAGTGGCACTGTTAACTGACATGATGGTGAGACCATCACACTCTGTATTTCAAGAACTTCATCTCTGCTTGAAACTTCACCTCCTAAACAACTGTCTTCTCTTTCTCTGTCCCTTCCTCTCTCTCTCTAGCCTACTATTATTCTATCTCTATAACTTTGCCTATTTTAGGTACTTCATGTAAGTTAATTCATATATTTGTCACTTTCTGTCTTATTTCACTTAACATGATGTTCTTAAGGTCTTGTATCATTGAAACTTCACCTCCTAAACAACTGTCTATTCCTTTCTCTTACTGAAGAATATATGTATGTATGCACCAATTAATACATGCTGTCCATCTTAATCAGTTTTTCATTGCCGTGACAAAATAAAAAAAGGAAGAAAGGTTTATTTTGACCTATGGTTTCAGAAGTTTCAGTCCATAATTAGCTGACTCCACTGTCATGGGGCTGAAATGGGGAGGGAAACCATCATGATGGCAGTTGCTTGTGCAGAAGAGGCTGTTCATCTCATGGTGGCCAGAAAGAAGTGGAAAGGAGGAGGAGGAGAGGGTAAAGGGGAGGGAAGAAGTATGAATAGACAGACAGGAATAATATACATACACACTTCAAAGACATAATCATGGTTCTCAACTAAGCCCAGCTTCCTAAAATTGTGACTCACTCCATCAATGAATTAATCCACTGACTAAGCCAGCACCCTCAAGATCCAATCACCTCTCAAAGTTTGGAGCTATTATGTGGGGACCAAGACTTCAACACCTGAGGCCTTTTGGGTATGAATTCACATCCACACCACAACGTCTTTCCATGTGTTTATCAGCAGTGTTCTGTCCTTGTGTCTGCACTAGTCTTTTGCCTCCTGAGCTAAGTTTGTTCCTAGAATTTTATTCTTCACTATATTTAATGTCTTAAGAGTATGACTTCAGCTGAAGGTATTTACATGAAGCCTTTATTGGTTGAAGTTTTTCTTCCATTCTAGATTCACAACTGAAGCATTTATCTAGCTGCTTTTTATCTTTCAGTTGCAATTAGTATCATATCGAGTTCAAAGACTGATTTTGAGAATATACTAAAAAGAAATTCGCTAGGCTTATACAGTACTAGCATGGGGAAACCTTAGTGGACAGGAAGAAGGAAGCCCATAATCTTGAATACGAGTTTATTGAATTTATGATGCTACTTTAAATGAGAAACATTAATACAAGTTTAAAAAGAGAGTGAAACTTTAAGGTTTTTTATACCAAAGTCAGAAATCAACCATGAATTTAAAGGATTTTAAAGGCTTTATTTTTTGGTTTTCTTTTTGAAATTTTTTTTTTACTAAACCAATATTTCTTCTTTTTTTTCTAGGATATCCTGAGCCGAAACAAGGACTCTTTGACCAAGAACTAGGTTCTTATTTTGGTTGCTTATAACCCTGCATTTTGAGACCTTATTTATATTTTACATGGAAATATTTTATCTTCCAAGTATCCTAAAGTATCAGTAGTTAAGAAAGAAACCACATGTCATAAATCATTAGTGATGACTGACATTTATGGTTACTTTGTGCAGATACCAGGACAAATATAAATAATAGTGTGTGTAGGAAATCTAGGTAAGGATAACTGGTTAACTGGAAATGGAGTCTCATGGACTTTTCTGCTCAGGCTGGCTTTAAACCATGGTCCTCCAGATCTTAGCATCCTGAGTAGCCAAGCATGAGTCACCAGAACCTGGCTAGTGGTATTATTTATAGGTTAAAATACATAAAATGCAGCTTGCTTTCCACAGGATAGTGTTATTTTGTTAAGAAAATCTGCATATATTGGGCTGGGAAGGTGGCTCAGTGGTAGAGCGCTTGCCTTGCATGCAAGAGGCCCTGGGTTCTATTCCTCAGCACCACATAAGCCGGAAGTGGAGCTGTGGCTCAAGTGGTAGAGCGTTAGCCTTGAGCTGAAGAGCTGAGGGACAGCGCCCAGGCCCAGAGTTCAGGCTCACGACCGTACTCAAAAAGAAAAAAAATAAAATCTGCATATAAATTTGTTTTCTATTTATATATTTTTGTACAGGAACCTTAAAGTTCTATAAATTGACTTATATTTCATTTGGGAAAAGTTGGCTTCATGTACCTTTATGTAGGCTTACACAGTTCACACATTATATATTAAATATATATTTCCCTTTAAGGGAAATAAAAAGATTTCCTAGTGAGTAAAAGAAGATATAAACCTATTTCTTTTCATTGACTTAGACTAGCTTCATAAAAGTTAACTGTTTTTAAAAACTTACTTCAGCTTATTTTTTTCTTAGTATTTTCTGGTATTCATTAGAGATTTGTTCCATAACCCACACCCCAGGTATCCAAAAATCTGTGGATGGTCTCAAGTTCCTTTTATGAAATGGTCTATATAGTATTTTCATATAATATGGAAATGCCTTCCCTAAGTCAGCTCTAGAGTGTACTTAATATATAATAATACAGTGCAAATGCTGTCTATATGGTTGTTATATTTATTTAGGGACTAACAAGAAAACACGTTTAGTACTGATAAGTTTTCTACCCCCCAAATATTTTTGATTTGCAATTGGTGGAATCCATGGATTCAGCACCATCCAGATGGCTGACTGCACAGCTGGAAACTTAAATCCTGATAAACCCACCACAAACTGATGACTCACCCCTGTAATCCTAGCTACTCAGAGGCTGAGATCTGAGTATCACAGTTCAAAGCTATCCTGGGTAGGAAAGTCTGTGAGACCCTTATCTCTAATTAACCAGCAAACTTCAGGAAATGGAAGTGTGACTCAAGTGGTAACTGCTCTGGCCCTGAGTTCAAGCCCCAGTACTGGAGTGCATGCACATACACACACACGTGCACTCATACTCACACACACACACACACACACACACACACACACACATTATATATATAGATAGATACTCACACACAAATATTTTATATATATGTATGTATATATATACATATAAAATATATACATATATATAAGATTTCCAAAGGTGAAATCCCTTTGACACCTAACCCCTATGAAGCAGTATAGCTTAGCCACACCGGGCAGAGTTCCTGGTTTTGGATCACTGGAAACCATGGCTCTCTGCCACTGCTGGGCATCTTGAGACCATATCTTATTGCTAACCCAGGAAAAATACAAACTCAGAGCTCAGAATACAGTTTCTACTGAATATGCATCACTGGCACACCACTGTAAAGTCAGAAAAATCTTAAAAGTCAAACCATCTCAAGTTGAGGACTGTCTATGTTTTAACTTCAAATTCTGTGGTCAGACTACCATTATGCCAGTAATTCCAATGCTTTCATAGACTGTTGAACATCTGTGTATGAAATGAGAGCAAAGGTAAGCATAACACTTGCCATATGGACTAACAGCAATCCAGTAAATATAGTGGTAGCTTACAAGCAGAGATACTACTAACAGATGCACTTGTAAAAGTTTAGCTTCTGTAGAATTATTTAGTGTCCTCTGGATAGCCAAACTTGCACATTCAGATTTCTCTGCATGTGTTTGTTATTCCTGTGCCCTGGTGTCTCCTGGGCAGCTAGGGCATGTCTCTATTTGGGGGTGTGTCTACAAAGATGGAAGGAAGATAAGAAAAGGGGTTAATGTTAAGATTAAGTATTAATTGTGAAGGCTATAAATAGCATCTATATGATCAGTTAATAAAACATGTATGACTTATTCTACATATCCACTTATAAGGAAACACAGAAAATTTTAATTTCTTATAATCATTAAAATAAATAATAACCAAAGCTGGGCGTCTGTGGCTCACACCTATAATACCAGCTATTGAGGAAGATGAGATCTGAAGATCACAATTCAAAGCCAGCCCAGGCAGAAAAGCTCATGAGACTTTTATCTCCAATTAAATAGCCAAAGGTGGAAGTAGTGGTGTGGCTCAAATGGTAGAGCACCCACCTTGAGTAAAAAGCTAAGCAGGAGTACAAGGCAGAGTTCAAGTTTCATTCTGTCACACACATACAAATCCAAACAGGTAACTGAACTGAACTAACTATAAGAGAAATATATTTTTAAATGACTGTCCTCAAAATTAGTAATAATTCTAATTGTTCTATGATAAGCTTTACTATACAATTTAGGGTAACTACAGAACAAAGACCTGAAAACTGAAAGTCACAAATCTTACCCTTAACTGTGGAAACTGGCTTAGGATTTCATGACCAGACCTGGGATATATTAGGAATCATGTTAAAATTAGAGAAACTTTAGTATTTAGATAATTTCAGCTAAGTACTTTAACCCCCATCTAGAGACCCCATCTAGAGACCAAGGTATGTTCACCATCTTCTGTTCTTATTCTTTCTTAGATGCATGGATCATTGCTCTGATTATTCTTATTTTCAGTAAGTATCCCCAATTTAACATTGCTTAAGTCAAAATAATACTCTAAAGTTCATTTTAAGAAGTTTTTCAGTTTTGGTAGTTTTTATTGAAACTTAAGATTAAGTAAACCATCTTAATAAAACCCTAATCTTTTATATATGATATATTCTCATTGGTAATTTTATATTATGTAATATGTGTTCAATTATATTTACTACACAGTTTAGTGTATATAACATATACTATTATGTATATATGTACACATACATATACAAACAAATAACATATGCCTTCTTAAGTTATAATAGTACACTATTTCTGTCAAATGTGATGTGTGTGTGTGTGTGTGTGTGTGTGTGTGTGTGTGTGTGTGTGTGTGTGTGTGTGTGTGTGTGTGTGTGTGTGTGTGTGTGTGTGTGTGTGTGTGTGTGTGTGTGTGCCAGTACTGGGGCTTGAACTCAAGCTGGGAACTACCCTTTTGTTTTTTGCTCAATGCTGGTGCTCTGCTGCAGATCTACCTGTACCGGCCTTTTTTTTTGGTGGCTACTTGGAGAAAAGAGTTTCATAGACTTTGCTGCCCAGGCTGACTTTAAACTTCAACCTTAAAATCTCAACCTCCTAGTAACCACTGACACCTGGCTCTAAACGTACTTTCGATACTTTTCTAAGTTAAGCTATGATTCCTCTCTGCCTTGTCATGGGACTGTGTGATGCCAAGGAGTTAGATAATGAAGAAACCAAATAGACGATAAATGTGTGTAAATAAAATACCCTTTCCCCACCAGCATTTGTTTCTTCTGCTTAAATTTAGTCCTGGTAATGAGGTTTCAGACTCACAGTTTTTTTTCTTTCTTTCCTGGTGTCTTGCAGTTGTTTCAATTGCTATCATTTGTCTCTGCCTATACAGGATTCTTGGCCCCAGAAAGAAAGGGTAAGTGAAAGCATTTCTTCTCATTTATTAGGCCTTCATATTCTCAGCATGCTTTCTCCAGCTTTCTGTTTGTTCTCTGTATTGTACCATCCTTCTCCCCCTTACTGGGGGTTGAACCCAGGGCCTCATGCTTGCTATACTCCCAACAGAAGTCACTGTTTTTAAATTATGCATTCACGTGACATACAAAATGTTTTTGTTTTTGTTTTTTTTGCTAAAAGTATTTTTATCTACTTTCAACATCATGGCAATATAGGGAACCTATGTATTTCTTCAGCAGGTAACTGTAAGAAAAGGTTTCTTGTGAGAGTGGAAGTTTAAGTTCCTAGGTGAACCACAGGCCATTACAAGCCCCTTCCTACCCTAGATAGACCACTTCCTAAAGGGGAACCAATGGCCAAAATAGACACACTGACAGTTGTAGTCACTGGAGTATCTATGATGAAAATTTCCATTTATCTGTATCAGTTAGCTATGTATCAGATGTCTCAGATAATCCATTTAATTTCAGTTAGTTACTTCCATTAACGGGGATTAAGAACAGCACTATTTGATTTCTGTTATGTTCTCCTCATTTTCTAGATCGAAGCAAAGTAAAAGCGGTACTATTGCCCAGGAAGCTAAAAGTTCCAGGATTCTCAATAAACAGTCAAGTCAAAAACTCGCCACTCTCAAGTGATATATATAGAAACATCACTTTGAAGAGTTCAAAGATTTTAAGAGCTAATGCGCAGGGTGCGGTGATGAAGACAAAATGTATTTTCCATCAAATCAGATTGTCTTTGGAAACTCATTTATACAAGATTATAAAATGTACGGAGCTACTTCTGTCTTTCTTATGGGCAGCTGAAATAGGGTAGCAGCCATGAACATTCTTGAGGTGCTGTTAAAACTTAGTACACACATGGGTTTTTTTTTTTTTTTTATTCCGGTCGTGGGGCCTGAACTCTGGGCCTTGGCACTGTCCCTCAGCTCTTCAGCTTAAGGCTAGCCCTCTACCACTTGAGCCACAGTGCCACTTCCGGCTTTTTTCTTTTTGCTTATGTGGTGCTGAGGAATCAAACCCAGGGCCTCATGCATGCAAGGCAAGGGCTCTACCACTGAGCCACCTTCCCAGCCCACACATGGGTTTAGTATAAACTGGCATAGTAATGGTTTGGGAACACAACTGCCTTTCTACAGCCTTCTTTTCAAAGCACAAAAACAGATGGATAAGATCTTACTTTTGGTTGGGATTTAGCTTAGTGGATGAGTACTTGCCTGGCAAGTGCAAGACTAAAAATATGACCATTGGTCTGAATCAGCTTCTACCTAGCCAATCCTATCATCCTTTGTAGCCGGGCCTGGCAATTGTTTAACTCTCATCTTGCAAGTCCATGTGATCCCAAACTACAGATGTTTTTATTTCCTTGTGATGGTTTTCTCCTGATTTTGTTTGTGCTAGATAAATCGGCCCTGGGTAGGTGAGAGTTAAGAAATTAATGATAATTGCTGATACCATTCATAGTTTGTATTATCTGAGGCAATATGTTATCATGGATTTCTCCATTCATGCTATTTCTTGTTTCAGATCACAGAATCCTGCCAGACTGATTTTTGTCAGTGTTTCAAGCTGTCTGTGCTGAAGGCAACATTTCATCAAGCAGAGAGAGCTTGAAATTTGCAATCAGCTCAGACAGTTTTCAAGAACACAGAGCAAAACAGTCAAATTAACATTGAGCCGGGTTTTCTAGTTGGCTCTCCAATGTTGTAAGCATACAGCAAACCTTTCTAAAACATTGAAAAAAAATACTGTTCATAGTTTAGAAAGCATATGATATAATGAAATCAGAACTGTCCCAGGAATTTGGAAGGGCACGTAAATAAATGTATCTTCCCTCAAGTTGAAATAAAGTGCCATAAAACCACACTGGATGCCAGTGCAGAAAGACAGGATTCATCTGAAAATGCCGAAGACAGGATGGCATGGATTTAATATATATTCCCTCAAAAATCAAAGGTACTTTAAAGTCTAGACCCATTTCTCCTTTCACAGTGTTATTCAATGAATTTTTTCTAAGATTTGCTATGTGCAAAAATTGAATTTCTTTGAACAGAAATTATGTATTCATCAGCTAGATGACATATGACTTCAGAGTTAAGTTCTTGTACAAATTCATTTGTCAGGTCCCTCAATGAGAATCACAACATGGTACTTTATGAGCCTAAGGCTTATGTTTCCTTCCATTCCTTCCTGTCATTGATTTTTATCTCATGTACTCAACTGTCTGGCTTCTTTTTGATGCAATATCGCTATTTACTACTTATTATTTAGCTCTTTCTCTTCCTCCAGCACTTACCTAACAGAGGAGAGCTACAGAGAAGTAAACTTTGCTTCTCTCTAAGAAGAAGAGAGGAGAGAAAGATTTGCTTTTATCATGAAAAGGTCTATTAGCTTTCTGTTTTGTTTCTTTGCAACAATGGCTTTGTTCTGGAAAATATTCTGTGGGTTTTAGATCTCAGTACCTGAGCTAAAATATGTCGGCAGTGAGGATCAAAGAGGGAACTCAAAAGATCCCTCCCGTTCCCCTTGCTAACTTACTGATGTTTTCTTCTATCATTCCTTTGTAAAATGTAACGTGTACTGACAGGTATTGGCTTGGATGGAGGCTTAACTAGTTCTGTTCCCTCCATCCTTGCATCTGGTTGCTTCTGCTTCTAGAGCAGCTACAAATCCGAACCTAACTGTGCTTTTGATCCCAGAGGGGAGCAATGAGCACAACCAGTTCATCTCAAGAACACAGAGAAGGAAAACATGCTTTCAGAGAAACCAAAACTGCTTTAATTTGGTGAATATAGCCAAATCCAACTTGACAAGTTGTTTCTCTGTATTAGAGTGTATAGTCTAATATACATTATATGTTTTTTAACATACTATAATACATATTATTTTAGTATATTTACTATAATTATATAATCATAATTTATATTAATATGTAGTATATACATTATATGTATACTGTGTAATATATATTTATAGTTTAGTATAGTTATATATTCTGACTTAATTATGTAATCTATCCTTTATTATATAGTTATATAATACATAGTATAATTTTTCAATATTGAACAGTTGAGGCTTGCATCTCCTCAAGTGAAACCCTCATCATTCTGTTTTCCAACTGAGACAAATTAAGAGTTCCTTTCTTTGTGCTAGAATATACATCTACATGGCTGGGAAGAGGGAACTAGGCCTCCTGCTTTTTTTTATTTATTTTTTATTTTTATTTTTTGGTCCAGTTGTGGGGCCTGACCTCTGGGCCTGGGCGCTGTCCCTCAGCTCTTCAGCTCCAGGCTAGCACTCTACCACTTGAGCCACAGCGCCACTTCCAGCTTTTTTTTTTTCTGCTAATGTGGTGCTGAAGAATCGAACCCAGGGCCTCATGCATGCAAGACAGGCGCTCTACCATTGAGCCAACTTCCCAGCCCAGCCCTCTGCTTTTTTATGATTAAAAAAACTACCTTGTAGTCAAGGGTATTGATTGGCTTAGGCACTGGTGGCTCCTGCCTGTAATCCTAGTTACTTAGAAGGCTGAGATCTGAGGATCAGTTTGAAGCCATTCTAGGCAGAGAAGTCCCTATGACTCTCATCTCCAATTAACCAGCAGAAAACCTTACTTGGAGGGGACTCAAGTGGTATAGCACCAGACTTGAGCAGGCAAGCCTAGCTCGAAGTATGAAGCCTTTGAGTTCAATACGAGGGGGTGAGGGTTGGGACAGGTGGAGAGGGGAAGAATAAATAACATTATTACGCCTGTTTCTTCCCTAGAAAAGTTCAAATTACATATGCAACTAGCATTTTATTTCATGGGACAGAATTACACTGAAACAGGTTTTATGAAGACATGCACGGTAAGAATGCATAACATAAACTTGAACTTCAAATATCTGATCCTGACCAGGAGGCGTATGTGCAGCCTTCCTGTGCTTGAGCTCCTCTTGGGGGCACTGCATTTTCTATTTCAAATCAGAGCTGCACATTCAAATTTGTAATATTAGGGAAAGACATGTTTCTCTCAGGTCTTTCCCACTGACTGACAAAACACTAAAACAAGTCAATCCTTTCAGAGGAAATTAAAAATATAGGAGAAGAGGGCTTTTAGAGACACATTGAGACACTTGAAATTAATTTTTCAAGGCTCATTTGTTGGCTAGTTTAAACACTGAGAATATTATCAAGTCTCTTTCTGCAATTGTCCCCTTCACGCTAGGGGAAATCTATGCTCGGTGGCAGACCAGTTGTCTGGCATGCATAAGGGTCTGGGGTTTAAATCCACAGTGCTTTGAGGAAGAGACCAGGTCTGTTTTTCTGGAATTTAATTCTTGAATTTTATTTCTATGCTTACCTAGTATTTTTCTTTGATGATATCTTTGTAGGAAAACAGGTTTAGAGTTCAGTATACCAACTACCAGAGAAAGTCAACTGCTCCCGCCAAGCCAACTGCACGATGACCACAAACATGTTTCCATTTTTTGTTGTTGTTGTTTGTCGGTCATGGGTTTGAACTCTGGGCCTAGGCGCTGTCCCTCAGCTGTTCAGCTCAAGGCTACCACTCTACCACTTGAGCTACAGCACCACTTCCAGTGTTCTGGTGGTTTATTGGAGATACAAGACTCATGGACTTTCCTGCTTGGGCTAGCTTAGAACTGAGATCCTCAGATCTCAGCCTTCTGAGTAGCTAGGATTACAGGCGTGAGCCACCAGCACCCAGCTCTGTTTATCTTTGTAGTCTTCTTATCTACAAGGTTACTGTTTCTACCATGAGAAATGCAGCTCTTAAGTCATAATGCTCACATTTTAATGTGGCTTGAATGTAGTCACCTGACTTGGATGCCTTGAAATGTGTACAAATTTAATGTAAACAAGCAATAGAGCCTGATTTCCCTTAAATAACACTTTATGTAAGGGTGAGTCCATCTTGAAGCAGGAGATTTATAATCAAAGAAATATAGTTCACAGTATCGTTATGGTGCCTGTAATCCCAGCAGTTCTGAGGCTGAAACCCTTTCTAAAAAAATAAATAAATAAAAGTTGGGTGTAGTGGCTCACACCTATAATCCTAGCTACTTGGGAGGCAGAAATCAGGAAGACCAAAGTTTGAGAACAGCCAGGGCAAAAAATTGGTGAGACCTCCATATCAACCAATATCTGGGCACAATGGTGTACAACTGTCATCTCAGCTAAGCAGAAAGCATAAGAGGATCAAAGTCCAGGCCAGCCTAGACAAAAATACAAGAACCTATTTGAAAAATAACGAATGCAGAAGGTATTGAGGGGCATGGCCCAAGTGGTAGAGCTCCTGCCTAGCAAACACAAGGTTCTGAGTTCACCCAGTGCAGTGCTACCAAATCAAGTGGGGGAAAATGGTTTTGTTTGCAAAGAACAACATTGAAAATTGGGAATTTGGGCATTTGATCTCCTTAACTGAGAATATTATTGTAAAATAAAGTAAAAGTTGGTAAGATAGAATTCAATTTTTTGGAGACATGTTTGATTTGAAGAAACTAGAAATTTTATGCATTATTTTTTCTTTTCTGTCTGTGACATCAATGAACTTTATAGTTATAAGAAGTCGAGGACTGTCTCCCCTAATAACAATGCTAGATGATGGGACACCATGAACACTGGGGCCTCAGGGAGGCGCTGGCTGAGTTCTGGCCGTGGGTGGCTTTGTTTTTCCTATGTAAGTAAGGAAAGGTCTGACCTGAAACTTCCATCTAAAAGTAAGTGGTTACGTCACAATTGAGACCCAAGTCCCTGGACGTTGAGCTTGCTAACAGAAACATTTCATCTTTGTATCCTGAAAGACAGTCCAGACTATGTCAGTACTTCAGAGAAGCAAACAGTCTCTTTACTGGTGTTCATACTGAAGGAAAACAGTAAACA